TTGTGCCGAATTCCGCATACCGGAATGTCAGAGCTTTCGTGGCGTCGCGAAACACGCTGGAAGATGGACCGCTTGCAATTCGAAAAGTTACGTTCGATTCCCAGGCACGAGACATTGAAATCATTCACGATATCGAACCTCATTCGATCGCATCCGATCACCGATTTCATAGGTGTGAATGTACCTAGATCTGTCTATGCCGAGCACGAGGCTTCCGAATGGCGAGGTTTACTGTGGATTCATTGGTGGTGTCAGCGCTTGATCGAGCAAACGAGCAAGACGAGGGAAGAGTGTGGCGACGCGTGCGTTGTCGAACATAATGTCGACTCGAGCTCTGCATCGAACTCATTGCTGCTTACCCAATTCGCTGCTGGATGGCTTGCTGATGAATAAATTGATGCATGGGTGGATGGATCGGCATGGATGGATGGATGAATAAATGGGTGGATGTAGGAATGACTGGTGGTGGCTGGATGACTGCTCGTTACAAAAACTTGCCGAAAGTAGCCTTGCAAGAGGCGTATCTCATTTGATCAGCAGATCGGGTGTCGGTCTGTCTTCAACGCTCGCTCGCCCGCTCGCTTGCTCACTCCTGTTTTCTCTCACACTCTTTGTAGAAGTTGGGAAGTTTGATCCGGCAGCGAGCGGTATCGCATGTTCTTTGGCGACATTTCAAAGCGGTGACAAACCTCGATCCGGAGTGCAGTGCACAAGAGTGGTCGGTGCACCTCGGATCAAAGGAGCAGCAAGCGCCAGAAATCGCAAGGAATAGTGAGATACGATAATCGAAGCCCGCGTTCCAGGCCTTGCCGGATGGTGCGGAAGATTCCAAATCCTCAGCTCCCCCACCTTCCGAGCCGACGTGCGAATCACTTCTTAAATTCTATCCTCGAATGGAAATATTCCACGGAAGGCATTCTGCTCTGAGGTCCCGCGTCGCTTTCTGACGCGAATTAAGCGGAGGCCATCTTTCGGGGAATTAGAACTGAATTTTGTTTTAACCCCCTCACAACAGTAGTGCTCGTCATTCGAAGGCGCTACGAAGTTATCGCAAAGAACTCCTAGCGCTCTGGAGGAGCGATAAAGCCTGAATCTGTCGTTGTTGTCGTCGCGCTCTTCGTTGATCTGCTCCGCAATGATCCGAAACGACCCCCTATAGTCCCTCATATCCCCCTCCTAGCAAAACGACTAATCGTAGTCCTCGCCGCCGCCGCTGCCGCCGCCGCCATCATCATTGTCATCACCACCATCATCACATAGACGGCAGTTGGTAGCTACACATCAAGCTCGCTACTTTAGGAATCGCCAAATCTGCTGCAAACCTCTACGAGCCAAGCAAAGTGTTGGGAACGCAGAGGTTAGCGTTCGTTGTTGCAGTCGTCGTCGCAGTCATCGCCGCTTCGCTCACCATCGTCAAATGAGCATCCGACATCACGAAGGACGGCTCCCATTGGTGCTCTGGGAGAGGCGGCGCTAGCGGAGGACGAGGCGGTCCTTGCTCTCAGTTCCTTGAGCTTTCCTAGCACTGGCTCGTTCTCCCGATCGGTCGGTCGGTCGGTGGCTCGTTCGTTCGTCCGATCACGGCACACTCAGTGACTTCAGATTACTTGTGAGCCAGCTAGCCAGACAGTCAGTCAGTCAGTCATTCATCGCCACTGGCAGCAGAGATAGCGACTGAACACTCTGCGGACCAGTTGACTTGATGGCAGACAGAAGGTAGAATAACCCTACGCTTCTGTCGCTTGAGTGCGCGCAATTCTAGCGAAGAGGATTCGCTGCGAGAATACGTAACGGAGCAGGACAGTGTCTCGCGCCGCAACCGCGGAAACTGTTCGACTTCTTGGATCGACATCGACGATATTCTCGGATATCGATGATCTCGTGCTAAGTTCTCCCGTAGAGATACGGTGCTGCTCTGGTCGCAAGCAAATCTGGCCCCTTCTGTGAAGTATCGGAGAAAAATGTCTTCATCGAGGCTCCTGTTCCAACCGACTGTCGTCTCTGCAATGGAACGTAATAAGCCTCCACCATCACAACCTCAGCAACAAACCACGTCAAGTGAGTTTCCTCCAAAACAGTCATTGATCCGTTGTGACGGAGTCTGCGGACAGAATTTCCACGATGACAGTTCTCGTAATGATGTCAGTGTAGCTCGTTCTCCGAAGATGATCCCCCGGCTCCGCGCGCCCCTCCAGGGGAAGCACTGCCACGATCGCCGCTAAGCGCGTTGCTGCTCATTCCCGAATCCCGAATCGATCGATGTTTCTCCCCAAAATTAAGATCTAAATCGACTCCCGTCAGTTTGTCACGCTCATGTGAAATTCGAGTTTACGTGGGGCAGTTTCGGGACTACGAGCCGCATGGGGAAGGTGCAGAGATTCCGTGGGAGCGTTGATTCTGCGAAAGTTTAGCCATACTCACATAAAGACCCAGTCGTGTGTTCCGTGCGACCCAGGCTTGTGTTTCCTTTGAGGAGGCGCGGGAGCTGTGAATAGTGTTAATATATGATGGTGACAATTAAATATTCCGAACGGAATCAAAGCAACGAATGTAGGTATGCGGAGCGACCCGGTGGGGAGCGGCGGCGGAGCAATTTGACCAAATAGCTGGAGCATTCGCTCAAGCGCCTTGTCAAACGCTTCGTCGACGGATTCAACTTGCGAGCTCGGATTTCGATACATACCCGCTCGCTTGGATGGATGCGGTGGATGACTGCTTCACACTGTCACTGGCTGAGGGGGTGGCTCGGCGGGTGAGTCAAAGCACTGGCATTCGAGTTATTAACTCATATGTTCTCTTGATCCGATCATAATCAAGAAACACTTATTCACACATTGTCTGAGCCCAGGCAGCAATATGCGATCCTTGTCACTCGAAGTATCTCAATCGAGTGTGGTGCTAAACTCATGAGTCGCGTTGGCTTTGCTCTCCCGGGCTAATTGGGGACAGACTCGTCGCGGCAAGATTCCTTCTTCAGGAGCTGGCATTCGTCCTTCGGAAGTTACAGCTGCCGAGGAGTCGCAAGTCGCAAGCAAAGCCAGAGTCATCGGGCGGGGGCGAGCTTCCCCGTCCCCGGAGTCGAAGTCGGACGTTGTTCTGGGCCCGGATGTATCCGAGGCGCGGCGCCTGAACGCCTTCAGGCCATCTCCTAAAAGAGAGACCTGAAATCGTGAAGAATATTGAACTTGGAGGCTGTAGGCTACAGGATGCCTCTCGATGTTCTTCAGACTCTAGACTCCGCGTCGTACCATGACTTTTGTTCCTTCATCCATGTCCTGAACAAGATAGCCACCTCGCGGTCTGGCTGGAATCACAGATTTAAAAATCGAATCAACGTCATATCGGCTCTCCATGATAGTATCGCTGGTCGAACAAGCTCCGTCCCAGATCCGACAGAAATCAAGCTCATTGATTCTGCATTCAAGCTCAATCGAAAGAGCGGAAACCGAGTTGCGACTCTTATGGTCAGTAAGGCTTAGTCACATCAGGCTGCGGTCACGTTCAGAATCACTGCCATGCCACCAGGTCTCTTTCCTCTGCCCTCATCTCACTCCCAGGATTACCCCGATCGACAGCGAGCAGAGTGCGCTGCGTGCGCTCTGGCTCCCGAAACGAAATTTCCCACGAGCCACTCACGTTCGTTACGCTCGAAGCACTCAACTCCGCCCGTCAGTCGCTCGGCCTCAAGCGTCGCATTCAAAGTGATTTACGCTAATGTCAGATAAAATTGGAGCTATTCGTCGAATGATTTTCGTCCAGGCAGAGCTTTTCTCGACCATGTCAAGGGACAAAAAAACATCAACCTTGAGACACAAGAAAGCCCGTCGAGGACTTCCCCTCTCTACGAATTCCTGCTCTTATGGATAATGAAATGATTAATTCATTCGGCACGAGACCGAGCGGCCGTGAGAGGAGTGATTCCCCAATTCTTCCCGATTTGCCGGAATGAACACGACTGGAGGAAAATTCAGTCAACACTGCGGTCTACTCGTTCTTAGTGTCATCGAATCGATCGGCGACATCGTGAATGTATTTATTTACGCGGATGGAGTAGAAAAGCCGTTGGATCTGACGACGTCAAGTACATTAACTCCTTTGATGTGCCGCATATTTATGAAGTCGTGACTCTGACCGCGGTGGGGATCCGTTCCAATCGGGTCGCCGAGATTCTCTGTTTTTCTCTCGTTTCTCGCCGTGTCTCCGTCGAGCTCTCGTTCAGCTCGACTTCTAGCGCGCTCACTCGGCAAACCGTGCAGTACAAATACATATACGTGGGACAGCATCCAATCGGAACCATTCGCGTTTCGTCGACCACGAGATCGTCGACGTTCGAAATACGGTGTCATGACTCATGACCGTACGCGTCGGGGGGAAGAAAACGATCGAGAGAGGGAGGGAGGACACCGAGAACGTTAGGATTTGAGAGTCGTTCCAGCCCCCGCATGCCGTCCGTACTTGGCACGATTGCTACCGGGAGAAGATTCGGTCGGCAATGCCATGCAAAGCGTCCGAGGGCTCGACATAAGATCAACCCTGACAACGAGACGTCGACTTGAGAGCGTTCGCTATCCGTGCGCAGAGCGCCAGATGAAGCGCCGTCGGACCGGAGACACGGAGTTTTTGTTCTTTCAGCGAGAGTCGGCTTGTCGCCAACATGTGGCATCAGCTCTGATCGAGTCACGTTTGCCTACGGTTGACGTTTGTCATATAACGGAATCACGCCTCGCTAGTCTCAATTGTTGCTTGCTTTCTGCAGAAGGCCAATTCGTAACCCTCGTCACACTGATTGGGTGCCACGGTTTCAAATGTACAATTTTCCGAACGTCAAATAGACAGCCAACGAGCAAACAAACAAACGCCAAGGGGTTATGCGGAGTCGATAGACGCTTGTAAGCATTCGTCCCCGCAACACAACAACGGTGTCGGGGGAATGTATTTATTCTGGGCTTCACACAAATTGCATATTAGATCCATCCGGACTTACCGTATGATCTTTCGGGATGGATCCTCTCGACTTCCGCGAAGATGCTAAGCAAGGCCTACATTGGGCCAAAGCTCCGAATTGTGCTAGAAGTGACGATGAAATTACCCTCTCGATGGGAGATGGGGAGCTTCCTCCGCTGTATTTCGAAAGTTCTGCGCGGAAGGACCACATTCGTGAGCTTGTCGGAGCAGCGTTATGCATGTAAAAAATTCCGTGAGTCTCGTACAAGCAAGTTCGGCGTGACAAATAAATATGAAAGATTGAGCGCTGGATATATTGACAAGTTCAAAAACGATATATTTCGCCACATGAGCTTGTGACAGAAATCGAAAATCAAATTCTTCAACATTTCCACGAACAATCCACCAGCCACTCAGAGCCTGACAGCATTTCTCGCATACGTACCACTCAATAGCCGATTGCGAAGCCGCCGGCAGAAGTAGAGATTCTCGATTCACCGAACTCCGTGATTATCATCAACGTACGAATCATCCGCCTCTACATCGGAATCAGAAGCTTACGGATCAGCTCCTGAGAAAATCACGATCAGGTTCATGACTCGATCCTAAGACTTCAATCTGCCTTTCAGGTCGGATACTCTTGGATATCCCGTGCAAGGTCTGCTTCGATCACTCCTCCGGAAAACACTACGGCATCTACGCTTGCGACGGGTACGTGGAAACTGCATGCGCGGAAGTTGTTCAATGAGTCGAGCCGGACTCTTGGCAACTGCGAAAGATCAAGGAGAGAAAGCGAAGAGACTGGGGCTCCTCCTAAATACCCGCTCATACTTGGACGCTCAGAGATGTTGACGCCTCAGAGTCGCTTTGTTCGACGAGGGACTGACTGCTGCGTGATCGATCCTCGCTAGGCAGTTTGAAGAGGTTGAACTTCTGTTGCGATAGCATTCGACTCGCTACAAAACAGGATTTCGCCAAGAACACTTGAAGTTTTTCTCTCGATAATAAGTGTCTGTAAGTGGGCATGCATGCTGAAAGTAGATCGACCGAGCGACACCTAAGCCGGCCATGCCGACAGCCAGCCGTCCGAGTCGGCACCCTGGCTAGAAGAGCGTACTCGCGTCGCGCACGATAGGTACCTACCACCTCACCTCGCACGATCCTGATTGGCGAGGCGCGGGTTAGGAGCAGTCGTTTTCGAAGAACATCAATCTGAAATACCCCTCGTTCGAGTACCCTAGCATAGTCTTTCGAACTGGCTTTGCGCACTCGACAGATCTCGAGCAAAGTGACCTTACCATCATCGTTTCAAGCCTTCAATCCAATTCAGCAATCAACCGTTACTCCGGGTTCCGATTCGTAATTCGTTGGCGAATTCTCTCCGGATGCGTCTCCTCCCGGAGACGTCAGGTTGTACGAAACTCGCCCGTGCGCGAAACTGAAATAAAGTTCTCGGTTAGCGGAAGCAAAGTCAGAGAGACCCATCGACCTGGGTCCGAAACCTCGCGGTCGGAAATCAAGTTCTCACTCAGTTACTGCGGAGCGGCATGCGGACGAACCTTCTCCCTTCGAAGCCTTGGCGGAAACCAAACCGCGCCAGCGTCTCCAGTGACCGTGGCGAGATCGATGTCAGCTGGTTGGAAAGAACAGTCCATTAGCGCCTTGTTGCTTGCCTGCCTGGCTGGCTGACTGCCGAGCTGGCTGGTTGTCTGCCCAGCAAGCTGACGGCTTGCTCTTTATCCACGGCGATCGAGCCTATTCAACTTCTCGCTATAGCTGCTAAGTGCTGTGGCGGGCATACAAAGCTTCCCATTTAGAGACAGACCCCCTCCTCCCCCCCTCCCGCATCTCAATGCGCGGGGTCAGGAGAGGAGCTGGAGGGGAACACGACAGGGACGACGAACGTTGGGGGAAGGAAATGAAAGAGGTCTTTCAATTGAATGCTGGAGTTGTGTTTAATTCATGACAGAGTCTCTCGGTGTCAAAGACGCGCACAGCTCGGAAAGATTTCCTGAGTGGCAGTTCTGCGTCGCTTCCTCGCTCGCTCGCTCGCTCGGTCATTGTTCAGAATGATAAGAAACTTCGACATCGGACTGGAAGAAAAAATCGATTTTCTTTTGTGAAACCCGAGGACGGGCAGCTGAGTTTTCGCCGTCGATTCTCTCGGAGCGGCTTTTACCTGGAAACCTTCGTGCATGCTTCAATAAGCGTAAGGGATCGTCGTGAGGTGGATCGATTCATCCGTCTCCTGACGCCGACTCGACGACTTCTCCTGGTTCGGATCTGAGATCGTCTCCCCAGCTCGGAAGCTCCTCGGGTTAGGGCATCAATTCATTGGAGGAAAAAACGCGCCTATATAGGATCGATGAATAAATTATTCGAGAAACAATCGTCGCGTCGGTCGCCTCTCGGGTCGGACGCATTCTCAAAGCCGGTCAGCGAGCTCGCCAGCCGGCCAAGCGGCCGAGTCTAAATGCCGTTTAGATGAGGCTCTTTCCGGACGCCGCGGCGTCCGGGATCTCGGGATGCATGATAATCGCTCGAAACTGATTCCGTTCAGCCGCTGACAGAGAGAGAGCTCAGAGACGAGAGCTCCATCAGTGGCCAGAGAGCCATCGGCTGGATTGGGGTGCAAGCTCCCCGATGTTGCGACACTCTCCTGGCTGGACGAGCTCCAGCCGCGAGCGTGCTTCAGCGCTACATCTGGGCGACTCGTGCGATCCGACGAATTCGAATCGATTTAGGAGAAAAAGGCCCAGTCTCTTGAAGTCTCCAGCCCGCGGCAACAACTGCTCCAAAACACTATGCTCTAATGATCGGGCAATCCAAATAAGCTACCGGTCGCGACTCGCAACTCTTCCGTCGAGCGTATTTCGGTCGACTCCGTCGGAGCTGTATTGCGCAGGAATTTGTCTCAGATCTCTCCGTACCGAGTTCCGCATAAGCATTTCGTCCGAAGCGATCGCGGTCCATTATGCCTCGCTGCTCGAGGTATCGGAGAGCTTTGTGATCGTTGAGAAGTCCGGCAGGCACATAGTCAGGCGGAGAGTCACTCAATCAGTCTGCGGCACAAAGTCACCCCGTAGGCTCCGGTGTCGACAGAAGGCGCAGAACTTGGGCTGAAGTGCTCCATGAGGAAGTTCTCACTGTCTCCTGGATTTCGTCAAATGCGAAACTCTGAGCACCAGGTGTCGTCATCGACGAAGGGTACAACTTAGAATAACAAAGTCGAGACGCTCCTAGCTACCGCTCCCCAGGTCAGGAGCTACCTATGCTTCTACATTTTACGTGCGTGATTAACCTAGGCCGCTTAATTACAGATGCGCGGGCTTCTTCAAGAGGTCCATCCGACGGAATAGACACTATATCTGCAAAGGCCGCGGAACTCAGGCCAATCAGTGTCCTGTGGATAAAACGCACCGCAACCAATGCAGAGCCTGCAGACTGAGGAAGTGTCTCGAGGCGGGCATGAACCGAGAAGCTGTGCAACACGAGAGGTGAGCGAGCACCGAGATCTCAATCCGTATCCGGAAGACGGGAATCGCGGGATGTGTCGATGAGCTTTCAGGTTGGGACTCCGACTGAAAGAAGCGACCATAATTTTTTTTCGTTTCGCAGGGGTCCGAGGAATTCGACTTTGAGGAGACAGGCGGCCATGTATCTGAAAGAGGTCATGGCCGCAGAGTATATGCCTCCGAACAGGAACGACGGCGCAGTATCGTCATTGCCGCTTTCGCTGCCTATGCAGGAGCATCTTTCACCCGATGTCAAGCAAGCATATCCTACGACGCCCTTCCCTCTCATTATGCAACTGGCGAGAGTGAGTAGCGCCGATCGTTTTGAGGAAATCCTCTCCAGCTATTTCGGTTTGGCAGATTCCTAGAGAATTGTTCGCGCGTCGAATACCGGGGAGAAACCCCAGAGCTGCTGGGGTCGGTTCTGTTATGATCAGAGGAAGTAGTCTTCTGACTGCATTTTTGACTGCGGAGTCTCTACGCTCGGCAGGGCCGAACGAATTCGCAAGGCCGGATCTCGAACAGAATAGAGATTCGTGTCCGATAGACTTTTGAGTGACTTAATGCTTCGAAACATATCCGATGATCCTCCCGATGATACTTAGTCTCTCCATCGGTTCCCATTGCAACGCTATCAGCAGCCAAGCGTGGCCGAGATGCATCTGTTCGATATGCGTTGTGTGAACTTCAGCTTCACTGCTTCGGCGGCTCCGCGGAGGTCTTCGGCATTCAGAGTCACCGCGGAACAGATGGTGTCCTTATCAGTCGGGCACAAGCTACACGCTCCTACCTCCCGGTGGAATGACGTGAAATACTTGTATCTGTTCCCGACTATGAGCTTCCGCTCTGTTAACCTGATACCTCACGAATGAAAAATTATGATTCTCTTCCGAATGCCGATCGTAGAAATTTATCTCGACGGAGAGCTGCGAATCTCTCGGATTCGTGCCGATATTTGTTCAACCATTGAGATTTTCGCCGCAGCGTGAAGTTTGAGGAAATAATTTGTCCGCTTGTCGGCCCAGAAGCGAGTTCGAAAGCTCTTGAGCTCAAGGTGGGCATTATTCTCCTGTTTTTTCATGCTCGCTCTAGTCGGCACTCCGGATGCTTTGTACGAGCTGCATGCTCGCTATTTGACGCTTCAGGGGTGAAGCTCCGGTCGACCAGGGACCTTGTCAGTCGCTCAGCAGCCCGGCCGGTCAGTCGGGTCGGTCGTTAGAAAAACTTTGCACCGGACTCGTCCTCGGCCAGCACTATAGAAGAGTTCCCCTCCTCATGAACGACGGGTGGATGACTCGAGTTCGAAGCTGCCGATCTGAAGGCGTGATGCGACTGACGAACAGCCGTAGACTGCTCGACCGGAAAAAACGCGGGAAAAAATTTCGAGGAACAATCATCATCCAATGAATCTTTCCGAGCATCTTCCAATCGTTTTGAAATGCTACCGAGACTCGAGAGAATCCCGGGAGTTCAGGAAACGAGCGGGTTCCGTCGCAAGTCGCAACAGGAGCGCAGCTGCGAAAGTCTTTGAAGAGTTTCACACTCTGCCGGCGATCATCATCTGACGACCAATCCATCCATCGTTCCGATCGCCGTTCATCCCCCAACAATGAGAGCAAACGAGCATGCCCTCAGCAGCAGCATGAAAACCGCGAACAGAGAGATGTGTTGTTGTGGCGACAGAAAAAGATTATCGAGGGCTTGAAGCGGCATTCAACGGGCTGAAGAAAAGCATTCGTTCTTCGTGAAGTGACTGGGGTTGAACCGTGTTGAGTTGGCCGAGTCGTTCGAGCGGGGGCTATCTCCAATCTGCGATCTGAACTGAGACAGCTTTTGAGTAAACATTGCATACGTACATACACTCATGCTGCATAGGTATACATGAATGCATTCCTGAAGGTGGTATGCTGAATTCTTCTTCATCCGCCTAATTGTTCCCCCTCGTAAATTCTTCTCTTCTTTCTTTTGTCTCGAAATCAGCTGCCTGCGCCGATCTCGCTGCCTGTTATGACGCCCCCACCCGTGACTCTGTCCAGACCTCCGGTCCTGACGGGTCAAGCCCTCTGTGAACTTGCCGCTCACATTTTATTCCTGAACGTCAGCTACCTCAAGACGCTCACTCAGCTGAGCTCACTGCCACTTTCTGATCAGGTAATTACCCTCAGATATACTCATGTCTTGACCGTTGGTGAATGTCTCGTGAACGAGTTTCTATTTATGAAACCGCCGGTCTGTCCTGACTGGTGACATTAACAAGGGAACATACGGGAAGCTTGTCGCGAACGTCGAAGATATGATATATCATTGTCATATCGCTTGTGATTCGACATAGCTCAGCGCTCATTATTGAGGTTACGTTCTTCAAGCTGTTCCTTCTGGAGTCGTCGTGGAGCGAACTCTTCTTAATCACCGCCACTCAGATGGGGCTATGCCTCCGGAGCGCGATGATGCTACTCCCGGACACAACAAAAGACAAATGGACGCCTCAAGAAATCAACGAAATGATTTCTGTACAAACGCAATTGCGGCAACAGGCTCTCGATGACACGGAGTGCCTCCTGCTGAAGACCGTGACCCTCTTCAGTCCGCCGAGCAGTGAGTATCAATTCCCTCATATCGATTTATTCGAAACCACGAATTGATAGATAGGTGGGAGAATTCGCTCTCGAGGGACACTTCCTCCTTAAAACGAGATTCCCAACGCGAAGCGAAAGAAACTCGATCGGTACGAACCGTCCTTCGAATGTCATGAAAGCCGACCGCTGATACATCCGGGAAACTTTCAGCAAGTGTACCAACACCAAGTTCGTCTCCGCCTTCAGCTCTTCGCGCCTCCCCGCTCAGCGTTTCGACGCGGAGACTTCACGAGGTGCAAGCCGTGCAGCGCCATCTAGAGGATGTCAAACGAACCTTGCAATCCCACGATATTCGTACTTATCCAAATCAAATTCGGAGGGCGGACTCTGCTCTCGATATGGTCCCGCTGCTTAGAACCGTCTCTCGAGAGTTCATTCAGGACCTTTTCTTCCGGAAAACGATCGGAGACGCCGCCATCGAGAGACTCCTCTGTGACATGTACAAGGGAAGTTTCTGAAATGATCCGGCAGCCCGTCGAGGGGTTTACATCGGCTAAGTCGCCGACGATTCCGTTGGATCGTTCAAGCAGGACGATGCGTAATGAGCTTCACGACAAAAGCTCTTGAGCCATTCCGACCGCGAAGCAATAGAGGTGAGATTCTGCGAGAGGTTCACAAAATCTATTCCCATGGAGGGCATGTAGCCGGGAAGCTCATTGTGTATCCTTCTTTTCAGAAGAGGGGAGGTTCGGGCAGTTGGCTGACGGTTCGGAATTTCATCTCAGTCACAGGGCAACAGACATCCCTGCGGTGCCAAAGAGAAGAGTTTTGATCGTGTATAGAAGTATACTTTGAAACAGTGGAAGCTCTGGAAAATCTCATAAAAAAGTCTTAGACCACGCTCAGCGTTTTCAGAGCTGTATTTAGAAACTATAATCTCAGTGCCAATAATAGTTAGCTGCGAATCGCCATGGGTATATTAAGAAAACGAACATTCTATAGTGATAATTATGTAAACTTCTATGTACATAGAAGCTCGAAGTCGAAGGTGGAACGAACTGGAATTTCAAAAACTCTACGCCTTGTCAACGTTAATAAAAGACTCTGATGATGGGTAGTTGTGATTGGACCAGAGGCTGTTCGTTCCAAGCATGTTTGCAGTAATAGAAGAAAATGTCTCCCGCGAAGGGGACTCTCCGAAGGATATGCGTGCCGCGAACCGCATGCTCACTCACTGCGAATACAGGATTGGACAGGGTCAGCATTTCAGCATTGGCGAATATCTTCGAGTCGCTCGCCCTTTCGGTTGACGCAAGACTGGAGGCGTGAATGGTTCGCGGCGGAAGATCGCCGATATCGCGGGGCGTTGCGGTAAGGAAGCCCGGGTTTCGCGGGAAACAACGAAATATCCTCGAAATCGCCGAAAAAACTCTAAATCCCAGCGGTTTCAAGTTGCGGCATGTGTGATCTTCGGAAGCAAATGTGCTCCGCAAGATCGTGCCTCGTGGCGGATACCGATCCGGCTGTATTCTTGAGCTCGTGGCAAAGCTCAAGCATCACCAGGGTCTCACCAAGCCCTATGGAGGCTGGGGTCGCGGCAGATTCTTATCAGGATGGAGTTCCCGGTGAGCTGTTTGCAGGAAATCTCGTCTCCGCGGATTTCGCGGTTGTAGGGGCGAACCAAGGAGGAACTCCCTCATTCGAATTAGGGGGAATCGACTCCAGCTCGCGTCCTAAGGAATCTCGTTGCTTGATTGCCTCGACAGTGTGCACTCGAGATATATGAAGATCATTCGTTGAAGAAACGCGAGGATGCATGGTGTACTGTGGACTTGTCAGGTTTTTCGCATCGAGGCAGGCTTCGAGGCCCTGTTTGAAACCAGCCTGTTCAAGGCCAATAGAGACGGACAAGGATCAGATATCTTTATTTCATTGTTCCCTTTAAACTATCAGAGCGAAGAAGAAGAAGAAGTACCTCGCCCCCCCCTCCCGCGATAATCATTCTCCTGGCCTGGATCACCTCCATGACGCTGAGATGACGCTCAAATGAGATGACGTACTTCGATATGTCGGGCAACGCTGGAGTGTCGCTGCCCGTCTATCGGTCGAACTCGTGGGGCAAATTATTCGGGTGGATTGACGTCGCTCGAGGGGCGTCTCCGCTGCCAGTGGAATGCGCCCGCGCGGGGCATCGTGATCCAGTCAGCCCTCCCTCCGTCCATTACAAGGAGCGATGGGGGGACAGAACATTTTGCATAATAGAAGTTTGGTGAGCTCGATCACTGGCGCTATTCTCTCATTCGCGTATTTCGACGTCATTCCCGAGTTGGGTTCGATGCTTCCCTCAAAACCTCCCCCAAAACCCAGTAGGCATAAATATTCTCATTCCGGAAAAAAGTCCCGTATTGCTCTGCAAAGATAACTTGAAGTTTGAATAAATAAATAAATAAAGCTCTTTTTAATAAATAAGTCTCGGACAAGCCTCGGCGGAAACACCAATACACCGGTGCTCCCGACAGAACTGTCTCTCATTGGAAATGAGTCCCAGCTGGTTTTTACTCTATTATGATCTCCTCCCTGACTCCACGCGTTTTATGTGGATGTGATGCCGTGTGAATCGCTGGCTATGGCAGGGCTGCAGCTATTGATACTCGTGCATGCGGAAGTGGAATTATTCTGCTTCCCATTATAACCTAATGCCCATTCCTCAACTCGCTCACAAACCTTTTCGGATCGTATGTCTCTCGATTAGATCCAAGACGGGTGGGATCATCGCAAGATTATAGGATCCACGATTCAGGTGCGAGATCTCATGCGGTGATCTAATGGCATGCAGTGGGGAGGCTCGCTCCGTCGCGGGCATCAAGGTTCTATGGCATCGAAACGCCTTGTATGAATGCCAGGAAGCCCCTCGCGAAGAAAAGCTCTGACTTATTGAGTACGCTGCATTGAGAAAATTTCCGGATAAAGATTGAGAAACGAAAGGTATGAGAAAAGTGTTGAAAGTAAATCCGGAGGGTATATCGAACTGAGGTTAAGGCCTTGAGATCGACAACGTCCGCTCCGGAGGCGTGATACGCCACAGCTGTGATTTCAATCATCTTCATATGTATGATCCTTTGATCAGATGCTCATAGGTTCGATTATGGAAGCATCACACATGACTATGATAGGACACTTCTGCTACTCTCTTAGCGAATGGCCCTCTCTGGCGTGAAACGACGTGCCCTAGAAGGAAGAGCTCAGTCCCCGAGTCCGATCTTCTTGATCGCGTATGCTTTCTATGGGACCTTGAACGAGTCTACGATAAGCGAGGATTCTAGAAAGAGGGTCTCCGAAAACTCGATTCCGCATTGCCCGCGTGACGGATATCGCGGCTAGCCCGCGTTGAGCCTGCTCGTGTCTGGGACTAAATTGCTGTGTCGGCCAAGAACTCTGGAATCAAGATCCGGTCCGATCTTGCGATGGCGAGAACTGAAACACCACCCTTTGGAGCCAGCACGGGCTCGCTGATTCTGGGGGAAGAACCCTGATTCCAATTCAGAGAATTCTGTCTCAAAGGGATTCGGAGCTCAATATCCGAAGTTCGATTTTTTGAATTGCAGCGCTCCTAGGCTCTCCTTCTCTCCCTCGGCATCGCTGAGCAGCATGTAAACAAAGGCAACTTTGCCTGCCTTGCCGAGGCATCCTGTACCACAGTTTTTGATAATTTTATTCATCATGCCTCGTGTAATGATAAAGGGAGGTGTATGGAGGAACACCGAAGATGAGATCCTCAAAGCTGCCGTCATGAAATACGGCAAAAACCAGTGGTCCCGGATTGCGAGTTTGTTACACCGAAAATCCGCCAAGCAGGTAAGGCCCGCATGTGTCATGACGCCGAATCCTTAGGACTATTCGTATCCTTCCTCTGTGCAGACCTGACCGGTTTCCGAGTTGGTCGTCCTAGTCGCTCTTGGCGCTTCCGCAGGAAGTTTCTTCGTTTCGAAGCGACGCGAATAATCCAACTCTGCAATCACTGACTGAGAGGCGGGTATCCTTTTCAGTGCAAAGCTCGATGGTACGAATGGCTGGATCCGTCAATCAAGAAAACAGAATGGACGCGGGAAGAAGAGGAGAAACTTCTTCATCTCGCCAAGCTGTTGCCCATGCAATGGAGGACCATCGCACCGATCATCGGCCGTACCGCTGCCCAATGTATCGAACACTACGAAACTCTCCTCGATCAAGCGCAGCGGAAAGACGAACTCGGCGATGATTTCGACGATCCGCGTAAGCTCAAGCCGGGCGAGATCGACCCGAATCCGGAGACGAAACCCGCGCGTCCAGATCCGAAGGACATGGACGAGGATGAGCTCGAGATGCTGTCCGAGGCTCGAGCTAGGCTGGCCAACACTCAGGGTAAAAAGGCCAAGCGCAAGGCTCGAGAAAAACAACTGGAGGAGGCGAAACGCTTGGCCAATCTCCAGAAACGTCGGGAGCTCCGTATGGCGGGAATAGAGGTCCAGAAGAAGAACAAGAAGCGCAAGTACATGATCGACTACAATGCCGAGGTTCCTTTCGAGAAGAGGCCGGCGCTTGGATTCTACGACACGAGCCAGGAGAGCTACGACCCGATGGATGCGGATTTCGGTCGTCTGAGACAGCAAGACCTAGATGGCCAACTCCGTGTCGAGAAAGAAGACAAGGAGCGCAAGAAGGATATGCAGAAACTGAAACATCGCAAAGAGAACGACATTCCTTCGATGGCAGCCGAAACCGCTCGGAAACGGACGAAGTTGGTTTTGCCGGAGCCTCAGGTTTCGGAAGGAGATCTCGAACAATTGGTCAAGATCGGTAGGGCGAATCAGAGTGCTAAGGAGGCGGTGCAAGGCGAGAATAGTGTCTCCGATGCCCTTTTGGCCGATTACGACATAACAGGAACCCCGGGTGCAACTCCGGCGATGAGAACTCCTCGACAAGCGACGACGTCCCGGGAAAGTATTCTTATGGAGGCCCAGAATCTAATGGCTCTCCAGAATACGGAGACGCCGCTGAAAGGGGGCGTCAACACTCCCCTTCATGAGAACCAATTGGCGATTACTGGCGCTCAGGTGAAAGCAACCCCGAATCAGATCCTGACCCCGTACAATGGGGGCGCGACTCCTCGCACCGTAGAATCTGCGAGGAACCTAGGAGAAACTCCGCTACACGACAAGCTAAATATCAACCGCGACGCTATGGGGTCGGAACTGGTCGTGGCAGATCCACAGTCAGCGCTGTCGAAACTCCCCGCTCCTAAAAATAATTATGAGATCGTTGTTCCCGAGGAGGATGAAGTTGTGGAAGCACCTCGAGTATCTGATGGTGCCCTCGGAGTTGTGGATCAGGAAGAATTGGATCTCATGAAAGAGAAGGAACGTCAGGCCAAGATCGAGAAGGAATGGAAATCCGAATCGATGCCTATACAGCGGTTCCTCCCGAGACCCTACGAGGTCAACGTTCAGGTGAGCTCGGTGGGAATTTTCCGAAACTGATGCCTACCACCCTTCCACCTAGACCCCTCGTCTTCGACAGCATGATAGAAGTAGACTGTACGATGATTAACAGCAATGCTTGCTGACGATGTCCGTACAGGAGCCACAACATTAGAACTCACCCCCAAGCGCTCTCGAAACGAGTAAAGTTTTTAAGATTTTCTATTTCTCGGCAGATTATGCGACCGCCTCCGCAGTCGACAGATGATCAGCTGACAGATCTCCAACGAGCAGAAGAGCTAATCAAGCAGGAGATGCTTGTGATGATGCACCGAGACTTCCTAAGACACCCGCCGGCCCGCAGCGTTACCGCCTCAACGAAGAAGAAAGACCCGGCGGTCGAGCAGACGAGGTGTTCGGTTTATCTCGAGAAACATCCGTACGTCCATGTCACGGAGACAGAAATGAAGGATGCCAAGCGGCAACTTGCCCAAGAAATGGAGGTCGTAGCCAAGGGGATGGGTCACGGCCCAATATCCGACGAGGTTTTCGCTCAGGTATGGAGCGAGTGTCTTTCGCAAGTTCTGTACCTACCGTCTCAAAATCGTTACACACGCGCGAACCTGTGTACCAAGAAGGACAGAATCGAGAGTTGCGAGAAACGACTCGAAACAAATCGGAACCACATGGCGCGTGAAGCCAAGAAAGCTGGGAAACTTGAAAAGAAGCTTCGAGTGCTCTTGGGAGGATATCATTCGAGATCTCAGGCTTTGGAAAAACGTATTCAAGAGCTCCAAGACCAACAGGAGCAAGCCAGCATTGAGAAAGATACATTCGAAGCTCTGGCCGCACAGGAAGCGGGCGCGAGTTCCCGACGTCTGGAAAATCTTCGCGAAGACGTCCAACGGCAGAAGGAGCGGGAAGCCGAACTTCAAGAAAAATATCGAGCCCTCGTCGAGAAGCAGAACTCACAGAAGTCCTGAAAAAGAATTGAGTTTGGAAATGTAAATAAATTTATCCGTGCCCTTTCGCAAGCAAAGAGTGAAATTCTCTAATTATCAGAAGATCGGCGCGTAACTTTCGGATTCTGCTAACTGTCGACCAGCAGGTGATTGAACACTCTATTCGTGTGTGAGAGAATCATTATCTCTCTCCTTACCTCGCCAGGGCGCAGCTCACCTAGTCCCTGCAGTAAGCAGAGTCGTTCAGGAACGCCTCGGGCTGCGGTGAACCTAAGCTAGATCACAGAAGGTCTCCTGGAGCTCGGAATCGACGCATCGAGCATTACGTTCGAAACCCGCCATTAAGCCACACAGTTGACACAGTGTTCGGAAGCCATCGCGGAACGGAAGTCCAAGAGCGGAATCGAGATGACCGAAATTCCTTGGAGGTGCCTCACCGGATTTTTAGTTTCGTTTGTATCACGGAAATGTCAAAGAAGATCAGGCCGCTCCATTTTGTGGACGTTTTCTCCGCGCGGTGACCGATTCTCCCAGCGAGTACCCCTCCGATTTCGATGTCCTACTCATCTCGGATGAGGCGTGAAGCATGAATCGCTTCACAATGCCGTACTTCAGCCCCAAGTTTGACATTTTCCGGTCGTCCCGAAGCATGCCGAAAGCCGAGGCGGTATCCGCATCAAGTTGCCGATATTACCACCGGGTTGTCGATATGCTTGAATTCTTCGGCAGTGATGATTTCATCATACATCTGGAGGAAGAGAGGGATAGGTATAACTTCTGACGGAGTCTAAAACACTCACGGTGAGTAATCTAACAGCTCATGATGACCTTGCATGAGTTTCGGGGGGTCTCCAACGCCCCATCTTTTTCCGGATCAAGCATGGTACTCACTCAATGTCGAAAGCTTCCTCTGTTTGTCTGCAGGCCAAAAGATATCGAAACTCGAGACGGGTGAGGTAATCCCGGAAAAGGCCGAACGCCGCACCAGCGCCGAGTAGACCTTAAATGTGTCTGGATCATGATCCGGCGGGATTCCGAGCTCGTCGAGGCGATCGAGCAGCTTCTTTTCCTTCATTGCACGAAAAGAAGGAGAGAGCCATCTGAGTTTCCGCATCGCAACGCCGAACTCGACGATTCAAATAAATCGTGGTTCCTAGGCGTCTCCAAACAATCATCCCTCGAATACGCCTATCATTTCGCCAACCCCGTGAGCGTCCGAGATCGGCCCGCCGGGGGTTTGAGTGTGACACCCCTGCTCTAGAGAACCAGAAGGTCCAGCCTAGAGGAGCGGTCTCCCTCGTTCTTAGCAGAAGGATTTTCCTGGCTCGCGGTATTTCGATTGTTGGATTGGGGATTCTATTTGAAAGTTTTGAAATGCAATGGAGCGACGAGTGGCGGAGTTTTGCGACGATCTGGGAGGAATTCGGTTTCGTCGCCGTTCTGCTTGAAGTCCCTCTTTCCGATGGAAAGGAAAATTCCTGCATCCATTTGCATAAATTATGCATTTATTCACTCATCCACGAGTTCAACATCATCCAACGCGCTTATGACCTCTGACCGGTTGAGAGTTTCAAATTGGTGAACAACAAACACTGAGTGAGACGATCTTTCGGAGAGAGAGAAGTGAAGAATTATTACCGTAGTCGAATTTGACAGCACTCGATGCGAAGGAGCTTGTTGTACGTCGTGCGACGTTCGAGAGCGATGGTTACCCTCGAATCCTTCTGCTCTATGGCCGGTGAGGATAAATATTGGTCATCGACTGCCCCGTTTCCGACGCTTTCTCATCGGAGCACCTCAGGTTCTGCGAACGGAGCGCAGCACGTGATCCGACCCGGCCAATATCCGTTTCCGTGGATATCCCTGTACAAGGTCCGAGTGGTTCGAGCTAGGATCTTTGCTAGCATCATCATACCAGAACAATTCAAAATATCTTTGTACTATCTATTTCTAGATGTTTGATCATCATGAACCGAAGTCCAACCGAGCTCCTAGAAAAACCCATCATACCCACGAAATCACGCATTCTTGCACTCAAGGGAATTTGAAAGATTCTAAAAACATCACAACAAATCGCCCTTTCGCATTTCAATAAAATCTCCAACGGAACGAGATGAGATCGATGATCCCGGAAAAGTTGTACCCTCAATTAGCCCCCCTCCCCCTTTTCCGCATCTCACTGACTCGATAGATTCAATACTCTGAGCTATTTCGACCTACCACATCATTAGGGTCCTCATTTAAGACCGGGAACCAACATGTGGATCTATTTTTGTCTCATGGAGTTCGATAATGTTCCACCTGTTTGGAACGCTACAGTCATCTTTCCTCCTATACTCCGGTATGCGGCAAAGCTCTTTGCAACTCTCTAGAATCCTCCGATACGGTCCTATAGATATGCTGCTGACATAACGTTGAACTTGCAAAAATCAACAGTCGCTTGGAAGCTGTCGAACACATGCTTGATATGCCAAAGTTTGCAGCTTATAGCTAGCGCCTAGCAATCGCGTAGTGTTGTTCATATTGGCAAGGCCTCGTCACACGGGATGCGTGTGACGTTCACAGTATATATCGTTCTCTAATCAGAGTACTCGGAGTCCGAACCCGCGTTCTCCGTTTGCCGGACCATGGGGGGCGGTGTCCCTGGAACCGGTTCCTTTGCCTCGACACGAGTGACTAGTGGTGGAGGAGCTTCCATGGGACCGGAACCCACTTGAACATCCATCTCGACCTGAAATGAACAGAATCCTCTGTTATCCGAGGCACCGCCAGGGGAGTCTTGTGCGTCAGTGAAGCTCAATCCGATCACTTACACTATACCGGTGCTTTGCCACGTATCGGCAGTACTTCTCGACTGGGAGATCCGCGTCGGTCGGGCAGGAGATGGATCTGATCGTGGTGTGCGAAACTGTTGACGCTGGCATCGTGAATTCCACCCTGAGATTACTGTCAAACTCAGTTGGTATCTGATCGAAAGACGTCAGCTCCAAGTCTACCGTCATCATCTGCTGCGTATAAGCGCCTTGACCTGAAATGCAGATAGAGGGTAATTCCATATCGATGGGTTCGCTGCTCCCCCTCCCCCTCTGCTGGTCACTCTGAGTTCTCGAACCGAATTCCCTAACGAAGTCTAGCTCCGGGTCACGGGATTGGGACGTGGACTCGGATCCACAGCGCCCGCGGAAACATAGGGCCGTGGGGAATCACCTTCTTTGGGCAAACGTGAGACTCTCCACACGATGGCTTTGTGAGCCGGCTCATATTTCGCTTGGCCTGCCGTGACTTCAATGAGTTGTTTGTCGATGTTCCCACCGGCGGCGGCTCCCATAATTCTCTCCAAGCCCTTGATTTTACCGTGGCGCCTGTTTGTGCTTTTCAGAGCGCCGTAGCGGAAGTGTCTCTCCACACGGAATAAATATACCTGGAAGAAGAGGTGAAATACATCGAAAACGCTATCCATACCGGAGAGTGATCGCCGGAAGAGAGCCCGCCGACCTCGATAATATCACGCGGTCCCACATACCCAGCATTCGGGGATTGGGAAGAACATTGCGATGTCTTCACATGGTATCTGGCCGTGCTTCCGTGAGGAGTAGCCGGGCACCAATACTTCGGCTTTCAAGTGCACTTTCGGAGCGTTCACCTAAAGTCGATGTCGGGGTTTCAGACGAATGTCTGTCATACGACAAAAAGATGATCAAGTCTGACGATGGAGTATCGGATACAGTCGGGAATGTCCGTGGAGCGGAGACGCTCACCTTTAAGACTGCTGTCAGCTGAATGGGGAGTTCTCTTTGGCGAGGTGGTCGAACTCGGAAACGCATGAGTTCGAAGAATGTTGCGTCAGGAGGTCGGAGTTTTATAACTTTTGAGTTTTCGAACTCTTGGTTATCGACGCAAGAATGGAATTCGTAGTCTTCGACGCGAATCCATTCCTCGGTGACGATGGGCATAATGTCACACCGACCCACAACTTCTTTCCCTTGCCGCGTAAGCTCATTGATTCCGACCTCCACGTCAGGCATACCGTTGACGAAGGCCAAGAAAAATAGTCGCACTCTTGCCTTTTGGGAACAAACGTGTCCCGTCTTGTCTACGTCGACGACGTACTCGTCTACAACCATTGCTTGAATCTCTTCGGCCTTGTAGATCAGAGCACGATCCCGGTGTATTTGCAGACTATATGGAAGATATACTGGCGTGAACGTGTGTTTCAACACTCCTCGGAGCATGCGACCTCCGTAAGTGATTTTGAATCGGATGGTCGATCTCTCATATCCGAAACTACTCACCCGAAGAGAACGTCCTCGATGACCTGGACAAATGTTCTCATCGTCTCTATGTTCGGTGTTCCTAGCTTCAGCAATTCGTTCAGTTGCGGGGCGTGCTGGAGGGGTAATCCCAGTTTTGCTACCGATCCCATTGAGTCAACCTGCACGGGGTGAGAACGTCGGAACTATTATAGATAATTATCTATGATGAATTTATTTGCCTAATTATAATAATTTACTGTTAGATCTCTCATCCCGCCGAGCATTTAGCACGCCTGTGACACAGGGGGCTGTCCGAATGCTGATGCGAATTGCGAGCCGCCACCCGCGTACAATCCGTCCTCCGTCCTCACCTGTCCCGAGATAACCTTGGCGATTTGTCCCTTGCGAACGCCGACCGTTTCCTTGTAGTAGGTGTACTGGAGTTTTATGGTGAAAATTTTCTTGAATTGATCCAAGGGTTGATGCGCCATTTCGGACAACGAGTAGCAGCCTTGGAGGGGGACCTTAGAAGCGGCATTCATCGTATTCGTCAATATTCATTATTCAAGAATATTAATTTCTGTTCCTAACCTTTCTCGCCCGGCCAAGTCCGGATAAATTCAGCAGGGAAGACCTGAACTCACCTCTTGAATTGGATCCGAGTCGTCTTTCTTGCCCATTATCCAGAGAATCGTTGCATCGTTGAATCTGACGAACACTGGCCTCCAGTATCGTGTGCCTGCAAATTTTTGTGGAATCCCTCAACAACGGTTGTCATAGTTATCTCAGGCGTTCGATAAGCAAGAGCTATTGAACAAGCACCCGGACACCTAACATACATTGCACAGGACTCATGCACTAAAGAAACTCCCCGGAGGCTCCGAACAGGAAGAGAGCTTTGACGGTAGACTCTCAATAAACTCACCCGTGAATTTCTTCTTGCTCGGCCACCGAAGGTAGAACTCCCAGCCTTCACTGAGGTCGCGTTTCGGTTTCCACTCGGTCAAGGGTACTGTCGTGTCCTCGTCGAAGAGAGGAGTAGACGGTGAAAGAGGTTCAGCTTGTTTGGATCCAGATTCTCCGAGGGCTGGAGGGAGACCTTCGTCCTTCGCTTCCGATTTCGAGTCGTTCAAGGCGTCTTCGAACGCATTGAAGATCTGCTCATCACCCGTTGAAGCTGTTTTTAGACCGCCCTGCAACACAATTCGTCGTTACCGTCGGTGAGCGCTAGATCGTTCCCGATTCATTCGGGGAACCAGGGATCCGGTCCCTGAATTTCATCAGTTGGAGAGCTAGTTCCAGGCTGGGATACTCACCTTGTCGAAGGGGTTGAAGCGGTCGGGCTGCACTTGGTATCCTGCTTGTCGAGATGGGCTTTTCGGTGGTGGGATCAGCTTAGGTGGCGCTGCCAGAGAGGGCACTCCGACCGGTGCTCCGACAGGACGAAGTTTGGGTCGAATAGTGATTTTCATATGCTCTTCCTCGTCGTCGTCGTCGAACGAGTCCTTGGAATCGCCATAATTCGCTCTTTTGACGGGTGTGTTGTCGGGGACCTGCGGGATAGGAATCGCTCCATTCCCGAGAAAATCGCCGTCTACTTGGAACTGATCCCCGCCGAAGCCACCGCTGATGTCTTCGTTTCCATCTTGGTCGCCTGATGCGCCGAAGGCATCGGTCGCCGAGATTACTCCGTCAGCCTGAGCGAATTTAGACGCGAAAGCGTCCAGGCTTGTCCGATCTGAAGATTCGGGGCGAATGAGTACCTGGAGGTCTCTCGTTATCATATTCTTGTTTCCCTGACTCGACGCTCACCTGTCGCGGGCTCGATGCTCGTGGTGTCGAAAGGATCGACCGACGTGTTGACGAAGGAGACAGGTCCCGTTGTTGCTCTCTGGGCGGAGGACGCCGCGAACGCCGAAGAGAAAGAATCGACTGGTAGCACTGATTCTGCAAATCAAACATTTCCGACTGTCAGCCAAGAGTCGGCATGGGTTACAGCATGAAAACCATTGAGCAGGGGATCGGCGATACTAACCCGAGTCTTCCCCGAAAGGATTGTTGATCCCCACCGTCACCGGAGGGAGGGTCGCCGTGGGGCTGAACGGGTTGGAGTCCACCGAAGATCTACGATCCTCTGCGATCGTTCTCGTCGGAGGAGACGGAGGCTTGGGTAGAAAGGGGTTTTCCGGCGACGTCACGCTTTTCCTGGCTGCGCCGCTCGCTGAAGCGCTGAAGGGGTTGTTGGCGACAGGCGGAATTTCCACGGGGGCGCTTTCGGCCGGAGGAGAATTCTTCGGAGAAAATGGGTTCTTGTCGTCTGCCGAGGGGAAGACACGCCGAAGACCCGGCAGGCTTCCTTCGTGGGTGATCTCATCTTTGAGTGATTCTCTCGAGCGAACAGTATGCGCTGGAAACGGAAGTCAAGCATTTTGCGACTGATTCAAGCATGAGGCCTCTCGAACTATCTCGTTCCTCTGCAACACGTGAGTATCGAGCGAAGCTAACCCTCAGTAGTGGCCGGCTGCGTCTCCTCCAGCCCTTGGGCGGGTCTTTCGGGTGGAGACCTCACATCAGATGTCTTCGGCCCGAAGAGCTCTTCTTCCTGTTGTCGCCAGTCGTTCTCGAACACATCTGATCCCGGCGTAGGAGCTCCGGAAACGGAATCTGCTCCGAAGAAGGATTGAAAGCCTCGTCATGAGTCTCTGCTGAACCGATAGGAGTCCCCCCTCATAACTCATCGGAGCGCGAAGCATTTCATACTCACCGGGAACGCTCGTGGGGAGCTCTAAGGCTCGCTGGACGCCTTTGAAAGGATCGAATGAGTCTTTCACGCTTTTCAGAGCTTGAGGAACTTGGTCGAGTGGGAGCTCCGTTTGGGCTTGAGGGGGTACATCGTCCAAGTCGATGCTCTTCTTGCCGAAAGCCAACTGGAACGCGTCCACGGGAGCTGCTGGTGGTGCGGCGGCAGGAACCGTTTGCGGAGCGAGCGGAAGCGCACCAACGCTCACTCCGACCGCCGTGAACGGACCGACCGACGATGCCGTGGCTACAGCGGGGAATTTATTAGAGAAATAAGGTATCGCACATTCGTTCCCGAAGAGATTTCATGTGGAATCTGAATTGAGGGGGATACCTCGCGAAGAACTGCCTCCGGAAGAACCTCCCAGATCCAAGAGCTCCGGTACAACGTGGTCCCGATGTTCTGGTTCAGAGAAGGGGCTGATGGGCGAAGGTGGAGGCAGTTGTCCTTTACCAGCCAGAGTCCTGCGAGCAGGTCTCACTTAAGTCTCGCAGAAAAATGTTGACCGAGCCAAAAGTAGAAATTAGACTCCGCGAAGATGGAAAACTCACTTATTGAATAGGTCATCGTCATCGTCGTCCTTGTTTACGAACTCGCTGGCAATCGCCTGAAGGAGAGCTGCACCAGTGCGAATGGTGTCCTCAGTACTGAGCGGCTGAACGACTGCTAATTCCGACGGGTCGAAAGGGTTGGTGGACGAGCGACGTGAGTGGTTTTTGAAGAATTTTTGGACCTCGTCCGGGATGTCTACGGGGGAACAGTCTGTCGAACTGAATAATGAGGATCCTGCCGTCGGACGGGACGGGGGACGAACACGAGGGTTCGGATCATCTTGGATCCCTGGTAGACCGCCTGAAGGGTTCACAGATCCAGACAGAGACAGTCTCCGCTGAGTCTGCTTGTCGACCTGAATCAATGAATGCGTCGGATGGATAATCGAGAGGCGAAATATATGTATGTTCCAACCTCCGAACGATGTTCTCGAGGAATGATTTCGTCGAGTCTCAACTTACCGCCTCGATCTTCTCAATGATTTCCTTCGTGTCGAAAGGATCCTCCTCATCGGATTTCCCTGACAAAGTATTCTTGTGATCGACGGGGGATATGAAAGTCGTGTCGAATGGATCGACTTCTATCGGGGTCTTCGGGATTGCAGAAGGTCCAGATGAGGGGCTGTCGGAAGATATTCCCATCAATACCTCCTGTATTCCACTCCTATAGGTAGAGGGAGTAGCGGCAATCTGTCACAAACTCCCCCGTCTGCCGTAATTGATTCCTCCGCTCATCGAGATGAGCTGTGCCGTTCGGCTCTTAGCTTCCCGTCGAGATCCAAACATCAAAAAGTCTATCTGAACGTAACGCTAGACCCAAGACCATCTATGTAGTTTCACACATTCGGCCTTCATTTCACGCCTCCCTCGAATCAAGATCGGGACCACCCGTATCAAGACAAGCTCAGAATCATGGGCACATAGCGCTCGAGATTATCTTAGAAGCTGAATTTTAGAGTGGAGGCCTCTCTCCAGGAAATTCTTGCAGTTGAGTCCGTCACGTGGATGGACTACGTGTCCGAGGTCGACTCGCAGCTGATTTGAGAAGGACGGGGGGATTCCTTTGAAGGCTTCGCGGATCGTAACTCGGCACGAGTCTTGCCCGCATTACTCCGTCCAAGGAACAGAGGTTCTACAGAGATACTACTTTTACAGAGATGAACCCGCGCTGCCTGCGGTTATGCATCTGCCAGGGAGGAGAGCGGTGGAGATCCGGGAGAATAATAATCTGAGATAATCAAGTTACGACCTACCTGTAGTGGGCGAAGGAGAGTTTTGGCTGATCCTCGGGGTCGCCCAATAATAAAACGTCGGGGACCTGGTTTTTACCGCTCCCACTGTCGAAAGCACGCCCCCACTCTGTAAGAAAGCAGTCGTTTGAGAAGCCTCTGCCCGGCTGCCTACAGATTGTTGGGGCACGAAGCTCGGGAGCCGCGCGGGGGACGGAGTTGTTAGCCGAACGAAATCATGAGCAGCTCCGCGTTGGGTTTGGGAAATGTACATATGAGTTCGGTGTGAGGAATAAAAGTGCCGATTATTAATGATGCCGCTCTGTACCGATACCCGCGGAGTATATTTATTTGAAAGGAATGTGCGCGTCATCGCCATCAGATGGAGAAAGGAAAAACACGCATACCCTCGGCGTCACGGCGCTGCCTCAAGGCTTCACGTTCTCTCTGCTCCTTCTCACGTTTGGCTTCTTCAAGGGGTTTCACTCCTTTATATTCAGGGATTACAACCTGGGATTCTTTCTCCTTCTCGATGATTTCTTGAACGACCGAGCTCTCCTTGACTTTTTCTATGGTGTGAGCGGTTGACTGAACGGTCGTTTCGACCTTCCCGAGAAGTTTGTTGAAAAGCTCCCAATCTTCACTCGATTTCTTCACCTGGAATCGCGCCCTCTTGAAATTCAGCATTCGAGGCCCGCTAGTTCGCGACTTTGCTATACCTGTCATCAATTTTTTTCCAGAATCATTACCGCTGGATCTTGTGGTAGAGCTGCTTGAGCTGTGGCGAGTTCATCTTCTTCAGATTTCGGGGGTAAGACTGTTTGCATCTGGAAAACAGAATTCCGACCTCAGTGATGTTCGAACGCGCGGTCCCCGCGCCGTCATCGGTCGTGGTCTCTCGGAGTCGGTTTCCGCGAAGTTCGCTAAAATAGGGCGAATTCAAGATGCTATCAGTGTGAGGGGACGGCATACCTGATGGGAAGGATGCACATTGCTCGCTAGCCCGGCCTCCCGAGCTGCTTGGATTGCGAGTTCCCTTTCATACGCCTCATCCTCGATGTCCTTGATTGAAAAAAAAACATATCCCCGGAATTATTCTGCATTCATGCTTTCCAGACCTCAGTGCTGATGCTGGTCCAGTACACCCGGCATACCATCAGCCAGTTTTATGTCGAGAAAATCGAATCCCGCGGCATCGGAATGGACCTACCTCCGCTGAGCGCTTATGTCCGGCGACCCTCTTCTTGACGAACTTCAATCCACTTTTCGCAACCTTAGACATTCCTCGGCTGGGATCGACTAGACCGGAACTTGATCGAATGTCATCCGTTCCTGTGAAGAACCGGAAACCCGCTTGAATACGCGACTCGAGAAATCCGAAAATCAGGAGAGGCGAGTTCCAAGTGGTCAGACTCGAGGGGGGCAGTAGGTATCTATCAGTCATGTGCTCCCCTCGGACGACACTCCCACCGCATTGCCCACCCTCCTCGTGCTCCAACTTCATCGAATCCAGCGTGACATGAATTCGAACGTCGCAAGGAGTGGGACAGCTCAGCGAGATCGGAGATATTTTTCGACTTCCGAAAGGGGACACGCGTTCAGAATTGTGATCGATGAGAAGTTCCTCGCTGCGAGAGGAATCTCTTCTCTCTCGCGAGGAATCGGAATCGACGCGAGGTACAGCCCCAACCCATGTCCTTTGAAATGGAACGCCGTGGGGGAGAATTATTTTTCGCTGAATGTTCAGCAGGAATACCTTTATTGTGGTAACGAAGCCGTGATGCCTATACTTGTTCGATGCACAACGATGTTTCCGATAGCCACATTGACGAAACTGAGAGTTATCGTCACTTGTCGAAATTTCACATTGATCTGCACTTTCACGTACTCTCTGATCACTGCGAGCGCCCCCCAAAGCAAGATGGCGCCCTGCTCCTGTCAGACTCCTGAGAGTAAGGGGCTCCCAAGCAACCTCGCCCGCGCCCTCGGGTGGCCAAGGCAACTGCGCGGAGAGGGACTCACTTTTGGTTATTCCTCGCGCCACCTGCTCACAACGAAACGATGCAAATTCGAATGTTTGCCACTTCTACAAGCAAATTCACTTACATGGGCGTGATTTCGACCTACTGGAGCCTGTTTCGTTGCCCTCCGAGCCCGCATTGACTTCCGCTGACCAATTTTCCTCTTATCAGCGAGCTCATGGGATTCCGCCATTTCGAAGAGCAAATCGATTGAAGGCAGCTCTCTTCGATTAACAGGAAAGTGGCCGTTGAGCAGCTCCCGATGAGTTCACCTTTCGCAGAATTCTTCGCGACACGGTCCGTAAACACCGTACAGTTGTGAACACAAACAATTCTCGAGCATCATGCTCCTCCAGCCTCGATCCTGCACGAATCGAGGATGGTTCAGTCTGCTGAAGCAAACTATGAGGAACACCTTGACAAAGCTCTGACCCTTGCAGAATTACCGAAAACTCGCTGAATAATGCCAATTCTGCTCGTCAAGCTCCCTAAATTCGACTTGCGACTTCGCTAAGCATTAATTATCCCGGACTTCGCTATTTCAGGGCGGTTGCTCACTGTTCCAAATTATGTACTTCTCCAAACGATGTCGCAAGGGAATGGTGGAGGTAAAATCGAGATCTTGATGCCCTGAAGCTTCGTGGGCTGCTGATCGGCATCGCGGTCCCACAGACCGAACTCATCTTCAGCTCCGATTATTTGAGATCGCTGAAGCGCCAGCTGTGTGTAATGGTCTCGCGGAGCGGGCAGGTCCCTAAGTGCTACACGATTCCTCAGTTCCTCCAGATGCCTCGCGGATGTCTCAGAGATTGCTCCATGATCCACCAGAACTAGACTGTTTCCCAGTTCTGACCCATTTTCATTCGTCCCGAGTATTACCGATGAGGTATTGGTTGTCAGCAAGAATTCGATAACCAAATGTACCAAAAAGGATCGAAGCTAGGATCTGTTTGCCCATCGGGATCCCCTGCCGCTAGATTTAATCCAAAAAGAGTCTGTCTGCTCCTTGGGAGAAATCGTCGGCTCCCATACTCTATACTGATCGTCTCTCACGAGACTATTGGTTCAAGAGTGTGGCCCCACCGGAAGGAAGCGCAGCGACGCAGCACGATAGTCACTCTGGGAAAAAAGACTCGACACATCCCGATTTTGGTCGCCCCGGATCCCGTGAGATAAAAGCGAATCAGGTGAGAGCATATCTAGATACTCCCGGAACTCCCAGCTCCAAACTCCGACCCGAAGTTATGGATGACCAACATGCTTGCAGCCCAATCAATACGAGTGTGCAGCCGGCTCCGTCGCCGCGCCGCGAGCGGTACTTGAGCTCGAGCCGCTCCCCAATCCCAGATCTAAGCGTCACTCATTCCCGACAAGAGCGGCCAGGTCTCCAAGTTATTCACTGCTGCTCCTGGGGATCTTTCGGAGGTGATGAGTGAGAAACTGTAGAATGCATCGATGTTGTTATTGGTTGGGGAGCACTGCAAGCAGTGAGATCCCTATTCTCTACGTCGCATGGAGATGAACCGGATCATCATAGGCTCCCTCATCCCATGTGGAGGATGACGGACTGAATGCTAATCCTGTAAGGAGTTGGTACAGCTCGCATCAGCGAAACAGCAGCGCAGCGCCGCGCTGTGGTGGAGGTGTCCAATGGATTCAAATTTAGCGCCAAGGAAAACAGCTGAGGGACCGGCATGTTTTGGGACTGCTCGAAGCAACTTCTACATTCGACAAGGACCATTTCCCAGATAATTCCCTCAGAACATACAATCTCTCGTTAAGGGACATGATTGATTGTCAAATCTAAGCGCCCCGAGATCTGCGGGTCCGGACGAGCCTTCGGAGGTTCGGAGCGTTGAAGATTAGCATTGGAAGACCCACATGCGTGTTATGGAAAGAGTCTGAGTTTCTGACCATTCCTGTCAGATGCCAATGTCGAGCTGATGCTGTCTCCATTTTGAGGCGGCAGTCGAGGTTTGTGCTGTTCTTTTCCTCAATCAAAGAAGGCTATTGCCTCCTTCCTCAAGAGGATGGTCAATGTCAATGTTGGGGTGCTCGGACATGTCGACTCCGGGAAGACATCTCTGTGCCGAGCTCTCAGCCACAAAGGGAGTACGGCGGCGTTCGATAAGAATCCCCAATCGCAACGACGGGGCATAACTCTGGACTTGGGATTCTCGACGTTCTCTCATTCTGGACCTCACGGAGAGACCCAGTACACTCTCGTGGATTGCCCAGGACATGCGAGCCTCGTGAAGACCGTTATAGGCAAGTCACGCGCGATTGGCATCGCTTGACCAATCTCCGGCTCATAACATTATGAATTATGACATAAGTAACGGCTGAAGATCTTTTTCAAATTTCGATCCCCCGATTCACAGGCGGTGCTCAAATTATCGACGTGATGCTCCTGGTGATCGATGTCACGAAAGGAGTTCAGACCCAAACTGCCGAGTGCCTCATCATCGGGGAAATATGCTGTGATCGGATGCTCATTGTACTGAACAAACTCGATCTTCTGGACGGTGGGCCGGCAGCGTTGGAGAAAATCAAGACCAGGATGAGAAAAACACTGGAACTCACGAAGTTCAAAGGTGAAATCGAGGATATAAACTCGCCGGACAAGATCCGGAATCGGGCCATTGAGCTGAGCCCAGAGGAGAAGTTGCTCAGGACGGTCGGAGATTTCAATCTGCCCTTGCAGACTCTGAAATGATCGCGATCTCCGCGAACCCCCAAGAGGCGGGCCCGGTCGGCATCGATGAGCTGAAGGACCTCATAGCCAAGAGCGTTCCGATTCCGCAGCGCAGTCGCGATGGTCCTTTCGTACTTTGCGTGGACCACTGTTTCCAGATCAAGGGTCAAGGGACTGTACTGACAGGTAGATATCTGGGATGTTCCAGGGCGCGAGTTTTGACCTTTGAGAAGCAGACAGATTCAGAATAACCATCCACGAATGTTCGTCTGATGGCTTGATTCCCTTGAATTACAGGAACCGTCACTCAAGGAATGGTGTCTGTGAACTCACTCATTGAGATCCCGCTGCTCAAATTGCAACGGAAAGTCAAATCCATGCAAGTGTTCGGACAGCCTGTGACGGAAGCGATCCAGGGTGACAGGGTGGGCATCTGCGTCACTCAATTCGAAGCCAATCTATTCGAGCGGGGCGTCGTCTGCAGTCCAAATCATTTCCAGCTCACATACGCGGTCCTCGTGCCCGTGTTGAGAATAGCCTATTTTCGGAACAGCATTCGCTCCGGAACCAAGTTTCACCTCACGTCGATCCACGACACCGTTCTCGGGAAACAGACTTTTTTTAGCGGCTCGGAAAGATCCTCGATCGAGCAGGAATTCGTGTTTGAGGAAGAGCTTGCACATAATGCTGACGGGAAATTTTTCTTCGCTCTGATAGAGTTCGATCAGCCCATGATCTGTGGAGTTCGAAGTTTGGTTCTAGGGTCGAAGCTTGACACGGACATCAACACGAAAACTTGCAGGCTGGCCTACCATGGAAAAGTTGCGAAAACCTTCGTAAGCCCGGACTACAAGAAAAGCCTTGCTGCTTTGCGAGTTTCCAAAACCAAACACAAGACGGGTGTAGTCGATCGAGTGCCCAACGAAAGCGAAGTAATCGTTAAGAACCTGTTCAAGAAAGAAACCAACTTGGAAATATTTTCCGGCATGAAAGTCGCGTTCAGCTCGGGAGAAACCGGGGCGATCCAAAGCTCATTTGGGCAGAGCGGCAAGGTGAAAATTCAATTAGACGTCGATTCTAAGATCTCGGCTGACTTGAAGCGACTCCTGAAAGCCAAGAAAGGCGAAAAGCCCGAGGGCGATCCCATAACGGTGACATTGACCTTCAAGAGACTCGTTTTCGACCCGAGCAAAAAAGCAATACAGTGACGATTGTTTTCGATATGAATATGTCTATATGTTTTATTATCTCTCTCTGTTCGAGCACAGAACGATGAGCATGGGTTTCGAGGAACGAGGGATATTATTTACATCGACAAGATACATCCAAACATTCAATGTCCCTAAGAATAGAGGAAAACTACGCAAACTCACTCAGATGTCTCAAGTCACCATCAGCTTCGATAGGACGAGAGGCTCCGAAAGTCCGCCAACTAGAGCATTGGGAAAACGAATAGAATATTATCCACGAGAACAACTTCACACTGGCCTTTGGTCGGAGACGAGGATACGGTCCTCATAGAAGAAAACACTTTCGACTGAGACACTCTGCGCAACACTTTTTACCATCAGGAACACTCAGGGGTAGACAAGTCGCGAACTCCGTCCTCAGAAATCTCGTGATCTCAGCCGGTCTCGCGAAGTGATGCGGATTTGATTTTTCAAGAGAACGTTTCCTCTCACGGCTGATTTCTTTCTTGGGAAGCATTCTTCACCGGCACCCCAAAACGATGTCCCGTGTATTGATAGGGTGGGTCCTCATGCCACCTCCCGCCTACATTAAGATATTTGTCCGCGTGTTGGGGACCTGCGAGCGAACAGAGCTTCGAGTTAATTTTCCGCGATATGAGACTACGCCTCGCGAACATTGACGTCACCCGAGAATAAGCGCGTGACAAAGTTGAGAAATAGCCCTCCGTCTTGAATTTGACGAAGCGCCCAGTTAACACATGCATCACTCACAGTCGACAGACGACGGGAAAGCCCCTTTCGGATCCGGCTGGATGTTTCCGTAGGCGGCGGGATTCCTGTAACCGGTCGGGTATCCGTAAAGCTGACCTTGACCGGCTCCGTAGGCGCCATAGTCGCCCTTGCGAAACTTTCGCAGGCCCAGCTTCGACAGGAGCGGCTCTTTAGGCGGCATCGGCGGATATCCGAAGTTGTCCAGTCTCATGTAGTAGGCGGGAAGGTAGGCTACCGGGTAGGCATACCTTCCTTGCTGCTGCTGCTGGTGATGGGTCTCGAGTTTTGCTGCAGGCTTCGGGAGAACATTCAGCTTGGGTACGACAGGACCAGAGAACTTCGTCGGGTAATACGCTTGGGGATGATACAAGGGTAGATTTTGAAAGTTCGGAGGAGGTTGGCTGTAAGAGGGGGGATATCGCCGGGTCGGCGTCAGCGTCGGGCTCCCGAAGCCATATTGCGCCCACCCGTTGTTGTCTTGCTTGAGATGCTTCTTCAGGAAAGCTTGAGATGAGCCGATGAAACATAAGGAGGCAAGAGATATCCCCTGGAAACGGAATCATATCCCGTATGAGACGAGTTCCCTCACAGATGGTCTCAGAAGCGTGTAGGGCCTGAGCCGAGTCCCCAGAGAAGCAGAGAAAACACTCCGACTGAGCTGATGCCCCGAGAAACTTAGAGTGAAACTTCCACGGCAGATTCCTGCATGTCTGTCGCTGAAGCTCGAAGGATTCTTAAATGACAATCGGACTGAAGGTATGGACCGGAGATTCTCTCCAGCGATTTATCGATGGTCTCCGACTCCGTATGATATTCCTGTGCCGTCGATCCGAGAACTGATGAATGAATCAATAATGCCCACAGAATGCTTTCGCCCTCACCGGCGTATTCTGAGGTGAATCGAGTAAACTCACCAGGAGGTTGAGCATGTTGAACTTCAACAGATATGTTCGCTCGCGAAGTCAGAGCGCAGTGGGTAATTCGGCGCACCAGTCAGTCTGTCAGACAAGCGGGCAGGCACGCAGGCAGGTAGCAAGTCAAGTGAAAGTGAATCCCGCCACACATGGCTAGGGTGGTCTTATACTGAGCGGTGTCTTCTCCCACCACTTTCGCGTCACCTCCCTCGGCTTCCGTTAGGTGATCAATAAGTTGACAGTTGTCGGTTTTTCCTTTAAACGACCATTTGAACGAGTGGGAGAAACCGGCATTTGCGTCAAATGTCTTCAGAACAACCGGACACGCCCAACGGAGTGAGGCTCTTTGCTCAGGTTAAACGCTAATCAACAGAAAGAGGAATTGAGTCCCTTACGCAATCGACCGATTGCTGATTCCTACCGTTTTCCTGAATGGTCTGGTGGGAGGCGAGAGTTCTCAGGTGGGTGGTTGGCGACGAACTCGATTCAAACGATTGGGTTAGCGACACTTGACATGGAGGTAATTGATAGTGCTCCGTCAACGAAAGGTTTTAGCATACGATTCAATATGTCTCAAGGACACGACTCGGGTCGGGATGAGTCCAAAAAAATATTTCAACGTCGCTTGGGTCCACCGGTGTAATGAAATGCCGGAGTCACTCGCATGAAGTCGTTTTATTCCTCATCGGAGGAATTCAGAACGAGGGTCAGCTTCGGAAACTGAGCGACTCTCTCAGCGGTGTATTGGCGGTTTTCGCCACGCACAGAGGACGAATCAATACACTCGAATCCTTTCTTATGAGAATATGATGATTTTATTGAGGGTCATCTACATCCACACGACGAGCTCTCTGATATAATTAAGTCGGTGCCACTGAGGATTCTCCAGGAACCCGTCCCGATGAATCACAGGTGAACGGGTTCGCTTGCACCATTTGAAGATTCTAGCACAATTCGGTCACATGGGTTCGGAATGTTTTGAGAGTGCTTAAAACATATTCCCTCCACCCTGAATACTCTCTAAGTAAATACCACAGGCGTGATTTTTGTCACACTGAATAAGGAGTCGGACCCATCGAATTCGTGGCTTCGACTCCTGAAGAATGTACAAAGCCTCGATTGGCACTGTCTTCACTAAGTACAGTGTCTTGTCTGTTAGTGTATGCGTAGACGTCCGACAGGTAGCTCTCAGACGAGCGTGTCAGTGATAACGCTCACGTTCAGGTGCATGAGGAATTCTTTCTCGACTGGATTGTTCGGAGTCCAAGATAGAACTCTCATGTTACGCGCTTTCCAGAAGTCCACGTAGTCCTTGCTTATGTGATCCTGTAAGTCGATTTCCGCTCAGATTATGAGTTCATTGATGATAAAGAATGATTATAAGCTATGAGGTCCTTGAGCGTGGATCGCGGGCAATGTCCACCTTCGTTTCCAGGTCTAAGTCCAAAGTACAATCTCGCTCTTAGCCCGCTCAGCTCGGCAATAGATAATTCCCAGTAATCGAACTCAAAAGAACACTTAATCCCCAGCTGAGAGGTTGCGGAAAAATCCCATTCGGAACCTACTTTGTGGATCGAGACCGCACTGACTCCGGCCAAATGCCAGAGGAAGTTGTGAAGGCTCCACTCGAGAATCGGATCCAGAATTTCGGCAATGAACTGTCTGAACGGGGAATTCTGGAACCTTGGCTTCTTCCCTTCGACATCGTAGTAGGCGACGAAATTCCTCCGCCATATCAAAGCGGTGACGATCTCTGAACGCTTGCTCCGCACCTTGTATACAAGCTGAAACCGATGGAAGAAGTCAATTGATCCGATCTCGAACCAAATTCGCCACGGACCTCGAGGAATCAGTTACCTCATTCGGCCTAAGTTACCCCATTTCACGGGCAATATCGAAGCCTGGATTGCATGGAACATGCATCAGAACCTCCGCTGAACCCACCTGCGGATAGAAGGAACAGACGATGGCCTCGTTCTTGAGGCTAGGATATTTGTCATAAAGGCTCAGAATGTAGTCCACCGCCCTATCATCATAATCCTTGACGTCGATGATGATCTTCAGACCGAGATCTAAGGCTTCTCGGACAGACTCATCGATCGTCGGGACCTTCTCGTTCTTGAACAAATCGGAATACATATGGTTGACTGAGGCGTCAAGGTTTTTCACCTGGAATTCATTCCTCCGTGAGAATTACGCCGTGAGTGTTTCCCGCCTCAATGTATCGCTCCCCGCAGATCTTGATGTTTGAGTTCTGGTACCTAGCGAAGCCTGGAAATTCGTCCCTTACCACTTCCCAAGTACTATCGAGTAGTGGTCCTTTTCCATTCGTCGTCCTGTCAAGATCATCGTCATGGAACGTGATCGCGATGTTATCTTTCGTGAAGCTCAGATCGATTTCGACCCCGTACGCTTGGTGTTTCTTTGCGACACGGATCGCTGACAGCGTATTTTCCGGTGCGTCAAGGGCGCCTCCTCTATGACCGAACATGACGGCCTTGGAGCCGAGTATGCCATCGATCTGACTCGGATCGCGCTGCGGACAAAAAGCATGATGAATCTCAGCCGAAGTCTCCCGAGCCTGAGCGTAGCCGATAAGTTCACCGCGTTGGAATACAATAATTGCCACGGAATACCACGCGCGGTATCTCGAACATTCGCAGTGCTCCAAGCTACCAGTGGAAATAAACAATAGCGATCCGTCCGGAGTCGTCGGTGAACTTGTTTTTTTCCGCTATTCGTCCAGAACGATTCAGCTGACTCATGCGCTTGCTTCCGATCCACGGGCTCAGCGGAGCCCCGTGCAAATCGGAGCAACGGCTGTATCGTAAAGTATCGCGCGGGCTCACCTTGGGTAGCATGAACCGATAGATGAGGGCCAATATCAAAGCCGTGAGGATTCCGATGAAAGTCAAGGTATTCATCAGGCTCCAGAGCGCACCGATGATGAAAACGGAGAGTATACTGAGCCGAGTACTTGACACGAGAACTTCGGCGGGAACGTCGAACAACGTTGCGAGAAGATGCGAAAGCATAGCACCGGCTTCACTGTGGATCGTTCACCTAGCGCGGGAAGAGAAATCTGTGAGAAATCGTCTACAACCGGTGGTCGTTGTGCTCCACGCAGAAACAGCTGTTCCACAGAGTAGACGGAGGAGTCAACGCAGTTCAAGGCTGTGGTCATTCGACGAGAACTCACTTGATACGACACAATTTTTCTTGCGTGTGGCTTCTCTAACGTCGATTTCAATTAAATGACTCGGAGTTCGTCCCTGCAGTTCAACCGCACCACGGATGCCGATCACTGTGGCTCTTCCCGGTTGAACGCTCTCCAACTGAATCCTCTCATTTCTGCAGCGGCGGCGAAGGCGTCGTCGTTCACCCAGTACAGCGCACCATCATCGGCGCACGCTCACCAAAAGAACACTCGTCCAATGATGGAGCCAGGCATGCGCTTTCCTGGTGAGGAGGTACAAAGCCAAGGCTCTTCTAGCGATACGGTGCGCTTGGTTTCTTCGACTGACGTCCCTCAGGGGAGGCGGGAAGGAGTGACTGGGGACGGCATATAGTCATTTCAGATCATGGAGTAAACTTGCATTGCAGACAAGCGCTTTCGCGACACAAACGATGACGATGATCTCTGCTGAGGGTAGGCATACCATGCATGTATCGGAATTCGGAATTTCCCCGCATTTTTTCGTTTCCGAGTGAATGCCTTGGTGTCGCGGGCAATGAAGCTCATGATAGCTCTCGAGGTTTTCAGCGTTATAGACTCCAGGAACTTCCATCCCGCGGCGCACGGGCTTTGCTAGATAAGAAGGAGTGATTTTCCGTTCCGGTTTCACTACTGGCCAGGCAGCGTACGTAATATCGAACGGGTGCATTGACCGATTACGATGAATTCGAGAAACTTCGCACTGAAGAATCGGTGGACCGGACCATTTTTCACCGATACGTCCTCCCAGCGCCCCCCAGCAGCAACCAGCATTCTCGAATCTAAAACCGGTCTCGGGGATCCCTGCTCGGAACTAGCTCAGGCTGCCCTTGATTCCAGAGGCTAGCGATCCGCCCAAATAATCTTAAGTGACCGCGGACCCATCCGGAATCTACTGCAATGAAGTCTGGACTCTCGGAGGGTCGGTCAACCCGTCTCTTCAGAACATGAAGCCGACAGGGAGGGGGACGGCTGAATGAAACCCGCTCGTCTAATGTCTAGCCAATCGAATAGTAGACACTCGAGCGAGCTTGTGTTCATACATCGCATCACTTTCTCGACTCACGAGTCGTTACGCGAGTTGCTCAACTCGGAGATGATCACTCGCAGCATGTTCAGGAGGATGATAGATCCGCATGAAGGGGTTGTTTCTGAGCGAACATCTCTCACGACCGAAATAGAGCTCGCTCTACGCCCCTCCTTTCGGAGGCGACATTCCCCATCACATCATAGACGACATTCGAGATGTCACTTCATGAATCATGAACGATTCACAATCTCCCTCTAACTACTCCGCGACGATTCGATGTCTGGAAAGGAGCTGACTGCTGACACATAGTTTTCTGTGGCCAGATAGCGGCAATGGATACCGATTTCCATGGAAAGTTTCCAATTTCCCGCCGGGAAGTATATTGGGGCGTGGCGGTAGTTTATGAGCGCACACAAAAGACAAGTTGCTGAGGTGCGTCCACGCCAAGGATGATTATAATGTGGCAGGGGACTGTTGTTGAATAAACTGTTCATGAGCATTCACACCCAAGTTGAGATTGAGAGTTGCATGGGACATCCGGCCTTTCCGATAAAGGATAAGTTCTCCGGGCGTATATCTATCTGTTGGTCCAGCAGGCTCGATGGCTTCTCTGACGACTCCGGCACCGTATTACGGATTACGGCGCTAGGTTGCAGCGACGGCATTATGGAACGCACAGCGCCTAATCCGTACGGAAACCCCTTTCCTACGATGCTCCGGTGTCAAAAATCATATAAGCTGGCTCGATTTTCTGCTTCTCCCGAGCGCCGTACCAATTTGCCGTGGTCCGCGAGCGGCTGGATTCCCCGGTGGACCGCTGGCTGGGGTCCCAGGTTCGTTCCTCGGCTCCTACGAGGCAAACTGGCCGGAAAGTCCAAGTGCGACCGGAAAGGATCGCCTGATCTGGATCGAATCGCTGGCGGAATTCGAATTCCGCGCACCTGATCCCCCCTCTTTTCATCCTCTCAAGATGGCCCCTTTGTTTTTTCTCGCGGAGAGAAGACCATTACCTACCTACTGACTGCCCATGATGGGCGCGCACCATCACCTTCCCTCTCTTCTCGTTGCGGAAGCCTTCAATGAAATCAACCCCGGCGATCTCCCGAAAACCAAAAATTCATCGATATATCGTGGAATTCTCGAGAGATTCTGAAACTCTCTCTCGGAGGAAGTTACTCTCAGGCTCTTTCTCATTCGGACGTGTTCGGCTGCTGCCTCCAATGGGGAGCTACATGCGCTCCTCAGATTTGAAATTTCGCGCCAGAGGAATCAAAGTTGGCTCTCCTAGGTCACTTCCGATGTAAACTTCCGACAACGACAGCGCCGCTTTGCTGATGCTAGGATGCGGCAGCTCGACTGAGGGTTCGGCTCACTATACAATTGTGAAGTTCTAACTCGGAGGTCCTGTTGGTTGTACGTTCGCCAGCCGACGGGTCCGTCGTAGTGAGTCGTTCGAGTGAGCGAAACGATCAAAATTACGGCCGGTGACCATGGCCGCCAACATGTACCGGGTCGGAGGTGAGAGTCCAACTCCTTTTCCAATGATCCCGCTCACGAAGGATGATACGAGTCCGCATTGTATGGGGAATCGGAGCTTCGATGCGCTGACTCCGATATTGGAGTCGATTTCCCGAAGTAGGACGAAACCCTGCGGCTAGATACGCTTAGGTGAAGATGTCAGCGCGTCGGCGCGTCGGCGTCCCTCATTAATTATCCCCAAGTGTCACTCCGGTGCTCGCCGCTAATGGCGAGCGGGCTTGCTCGTGACTCTGCCGCGAGTTCTCATGCCGTAGACTCAAAAGTTTCTCATTCTTTTTCTAGACTATGTCTACTTCGAAACCTCTTCCTCGACACCGTATCAGATAAGACGAATCGAGGAACTCATCAAAACTCCTAATGGCAATGTTGAGGCTAAGGTAAGAGCGATCCGAAAGATTTCGCCCGTCTTAAACCTAGGTCGTTCGGAATTTGTCTGGACCGAATATTCTCTTGTGTGCAGTTGTCTTCGGAAGTTTGCCTCGATATTCCGCTCACACACGCTGAGACTTTACCCTTGGGACCTTTTAATTGAAGTTGATGCATCGTTGGCAGGTGATGTGCTACTACCGGCGACGAGACATATCCTCGAACTTGATCTCGCTCGCGGACAAACATCAGTCCGTTGTGGAAGAGTTAGAAAAGTCGAAAGACAAGGAGATCGATCAAGCCAAGGAGTCCGCCAACAAAGAGACCAAGGACCCGGTGAAAGACCCTGCGAGAGACCCGATCCAGGAAGCGCCAAAGGTCCTCGCATCGCTATCGGAAAAGGAGCGACATCAGTTAAAACACCGAGAGTTGTTCCTCTCTCGTCAGATGGAAACCCTGCCCGCGACGGCCATTCGAGGGAAGTGCCAAGTTACTCTCCTGAACGAGACGGAAACATTGGGATCCTACCTCCACAAGGTGAGTTCGCGGGGGAAAAATAGACGTAAGCCACAAATCCCCGCTGTAGAAGGAGGGATACATCGATACGAAGTCAACGGCTCCGTACATGCTGGTGGAACTCTCATTCTCTCTGTTTGGGGCGGTAGTTTGATTCTCGCGTATTCGGGCTCGATCCCAGGGGAAGAAATTGTTTCCATCGTTAGGAACAAATAAGAGACAGTGAGACATATATTCGTCGATTATATGGCCACAGTGACTCATTTTCGATCTTGCTCTCTCTCTCTCCAGGACGATGCCTTCTTCTATTCTCTCGTTTACGATCCAGCGCAAAAAACTCTTCTAGCCGACAAAGGAGAAATTCGCGTCGGTTCCAAATATCAAGCCGAGGTGCCACCGTGGGTTGCCCCCTCCGACCGATCTCCGTCGCCCGAGATCGAACGCGACACGCTCACATATTCCCCAGACCACGGGCTGGACGATAAAACCATCGACCAGTTTTTGGTCATCTGCCGATCCGTTGGAACATTCGCTCGCGCTTTGGATTGCTCGAGCAGTGTCAAGCAACCGAGTCTTCACATGAGCGCAGCAGCTGCATCGAGAGACGCGACGCTATTCCACGCGATGGACGTTCTCCATCGACAGAATTACGATATTAGCAAAGCATTGTGTTCTCTGGTGCCGACGAGCGGTCCCGTCTTGTGCAGGGACGAAATGGAGGAATGGTCGGCATCTGAAGCCAACTTGTTCGAGGAGGCTCTCGAGAGATACGGCAAGGATTTCAACGATATCCGCGCCGACTTCCTCCCCTGGAAAAGTCTCAAGAGCATCGTCGACTACTATTACATGTGGAAGACGACCGACCGTTACGTTCAGCAGAAGCGTGTCAAAGCCGTCGAGGCCGAGTTCAAGCTCAAGCAAGTGTACATTCCTAACTACAACAAAAACGAGTCGTCCTTGAGCAACTTGTCAAGTAGTCGTTTGTGCGAAAGTTGCTACACGAGCACCAGCGGTCAGTGGTACTCATGGGGACCGGCTCACATGCAATGTCGGCTCTGCAGTCTGTGCTGGCCATACTGGAAGAAGTACGGTGGCCTCAAGTTCCCGACGAAAATGGAAGCTGTAGGATCTGTTGACCTGTCGACGACCGGCAATGGAGCCACTCTCATTCCTTCGGCGAGTAGTTCCGCTCGAGGATTGCCCGCGGCTGCGTTGGTTGGTCTACCTTCACCGAACCCTGGAGTTCCTCCTCTGGGAGCAGCCGCGAATCTCGCTCTGGTTCAGCAGCTGGCGACCATGAAGGACGGACCATGCAGATGTCCGATGTGTGGCAAGGAGTTCAAACAGAAAGCTCACCTCGTCAGGCACTGCATAACCAATCACGGTCTGAACATGAATCTCCCGACGGCTGCGACCCCGAACCCCTGCATGCCGTTGTCGTTGATGCGGAGCTCGTCGCCGAGGCCCATTGTGAAGACGAGGGCCGCCTTCTACCTGCATACGACGCCTCAAACGAAGCAGCTTCGACGACAGTGCAAAGCCATTATCAAGCCCCGACACGCTGCCCGGAACCCGTTCTCGAGCGTGGATTTAGCGACGATCCGACTCGAGATGCAAACGAAGCCCTTGGTCGGCATCGTTCCGAAAAAAATGAAGAACAGAGGACATGTGGTCGACGTCTCGCATCGTCTCGGAATGCCCCAGATACCGAAACCGGAGTTCCTGCTCCCCACACCACCGGAAAAAATGTATAAAGCATTTCCCGAAGCCTTCCCTCACAAAGCTTCCTTGAAACGAGCGGCAGCCCAGGACGCCGCGATCGCTGCCAAGCGATTAGCGTTACAGAGCGACTTCTCGAATACCCCGGTGCCAGCGAACCTGTCCGTTGCTAGTGTACCCGCGGCCGCTATCAAGTCGACTAGAAAGCACATCGGCAATTGGGTAAGCTTCTCGACGCGCTTCCCGTCTCCTTTTTTGTTCCTTTCCCTAAAGCTTGGCATCAGATGATGGATATCGATCAGAAAATGTATCACTGACTTTCTCGCTTGAAGAAAATCAAGACTCATCGTAAATTTCTCTTCCAGAATCCTACTCAGGGAAATCAACCGGACGATCAATTTTTCAAAGCGACATCATCGATCAAAAAAGTCCGAAAAACGAAACTCAGCCTCCTACAGATACGTCGGTTCGCGCGTCGCGCGACGAAATACGCTTTCAACATGAATAAGCCGAATCTCGCTCCATAGGTAGTGGGAAAGTCTCCCGACGCGAAAGTCTTCTTGTGAAGCGAGTGGGAATAGCTGGGATTTGGTACTGGTTTATTTAGTGGACGACAGAAGAACTCACTCTTGTACTTATTTATAAAAACAAAACACGACGATCCATGACTTGGGGTAGGTCTTTGCTGAGTGCGCGAGACGTCGGCACGAGTATATATATATATAAATAAATATATGAATATATATAGATATAAATGAACGGACGAATAAATGGAAGACTGCACCCCCCTCGAATCGACCGATTCTGAATAAAATAGACTCAACTGCTATGGTGTTGATACATAAATACACTTGATTTATTTATTCTCTCGTCCAACTCCGCGGAAGTCACGCCTTATCCGGGTAGATTCTCTTTTCGCTACCTAAGTTCTATTCTTTTCAATACGTGCCCTAAAGTCCGAGCCGACTTCGATCTATAGAATTGTCTCCTCCAGTCTCCACGGTCGGCTCCTCGTTCTGATCGGAACGCAACTATTCATCTTCGCGACAGTGCGGTCTCGACGGCGAATGACGGGAAACACTGACGCAGGGCCGACTGGTCTGGCCAGCCAGCTCGCCTGCTAGCCTGGTCGGAATCAACGAGCCACGGCGAGCACGACGGCTGGCCCTCAATGACTCTTTAAAGCGAAATCGTTCCCGTAAAGAATACTCAATCGAATCGTGACACCACTCCGAAGCATGCTACCAAAGACAGAAAAACAAGCGCACCCATCCGACTCTCCACAGCGAGAACACAAACTTGAATACTCTCGGTCGTCGTAGTTTTTGCTCAATCGAGTCCCGAGTTTGGAGAAGGAGAAGAACCAAATGAGAAAGGTCCGTCCGACGAGGAAATAAAGCAATCTTGGCATCCGTAGGAGACGCTACAAAGGAAAAGCGCAGCATTTTCAAAAAATACGCGGGGAGGCTGCGTCACCGTAGCTCGATTCCATCGGAAAATACGAATCGGTAAAAGGAGAGGTAAGAATACGGGAACCGCTTTGGAGGAGACTCCAGGTCCTATGATCACCGGTCGTCATATCATGCTTATCTGCAACACGAAGTCATGCGCTCGATCATATCGTTGAAGTAGGTTGTTTCTGATTCTGTAATGATAGTCTCTCTTGAACTAGTAGCTGAAGCTCGTCGTGAAGATTCTTATTCCATTCCCGAAGCATTGAATTCCGCTCCCGATGCGCTCCTATTTCGCGGATGAGCTGCTCGCGGTCCGTGGGGATTTCTCTGTTGCGGGCAGAGAGAGAGGCATGTCAGCAAAGAACATCATCCGGGCCTTGCAATATCATTCTATTCTATACGATGAAGTCCCCAAAAGACTACGATGAGCCGTAGCCGAACGTGACGATTCCATATAGTGTATACGAGCGGAACGTAGAACTCACGTCATGAACTGAGCCATCATCGCATCTGGGAGTTCGAGTTTCCGAGCGGCTCTGTGGGAACTCTCCATGAACCCGAACTCCGTGTGATCATCGTCCACGAGAAGCATGGCGGCGTCGTCAGTAGTGGGATCCAAGCTGAGGTCTTCATACGACGAGTTACACGAGGACGATGATGAAGAATGAGATGACGAGCAAGAGGATTCTTCGTCAGCCGAAACTCGCTTGTCGTCGGGTTTCTTCACAGCCCCGCTGAAATTCACAAATGGGATTGGGTTGGGATATTCCGAAAGGCATCAGGTGAGCATCCATTTGCGGATCCATACACCTAACCGGTGTGGCTTCCTCTCATTGAGCACCCCGCGAACGTACCTGTACACTTGAAATGCCCCCCCGCCAGTTGCACCGATTCGTGGAGGGTTGTTCCCAAGGGCCTTCAGACCTTCCTCCCGAGACAGACTCCTCGGAACGTTTGAGCCGTTAGCTGGAGAAGATCTCGGAGGCACAACAGGAGGGAATAGGCTCTTTTGGGGATTGGTACGAAGGTTCAGGTCGAGTGACGACGATCTCGCATGATGCCCTCGGTGTGCTGGCCGCGGCGGAGGAGGCGGGGGAGCGTCCTTCTTTGCGGCGAGCGGCGTTCGAGTGCCGTTCGATATCGCATCGAGACTCGGAGTAGAGAAGGGTCTGAAACGAATTTCCCCGAGAATTTACACATGCGCTCGTAGAAGAGCTCCCAAGAGGAACAATGCGAGGATCATCGAGCAGAAAGACCACCTCTTCGGGACGAGGACCTACCCATTCGAGTTGATCATCTGAGTACCGTCCAATGTGTCGTTGTCGCCACTATTGTTCATGATAACGTAGCCCGATCCCCCTGAAGGATCGGCCACTGACCGGGTAGGTGGATCACAGTTGTTGTTGAAGGTTGAAGGAGGGTCCGGAGAAATCCTACGGGCTACAGGGTGGAGAATCCGAGGATCTTGATTTACGAGAGTCGTTGAAAAGTCGAAACTGACCGGTCCCGTTCCGACCTGGAAAAGAAGCAAGTCAGCGCGGCCTCCAATCACACCGAAGGAGGGGAATTCTTCCAGTACGATCATGATCGGCGGCAAGGACTTGTCGAGCTGAATTAACTCGCCTCGGAACTCGGCGTCCGTTGGATATGTGGATTAGGTTTTCGCGATGATTCGGAATGGCTCTGCGAGCCCGTGATGGGTGAGGGGCTGAATTTCATCCATTGCTTCGACATCGGCGTCGAGACTTTGACTGCTGCACACGGAGAGATCGTATTTTCATTAGATTCTGTCGCCGATATTCGCCCTCCCATCGAGCTCTCCTTCAGGAGTTCCAGAGCGATGGATCGCCGCCGGGGAAACAGTTTATTGACTCGTCCCTTTCGGTTTGAAACAATGCTCACCTTGACCTTTCGTGCCGGTCGATTGGTTGATATGCGAATTCGTTGGGAGTGGACTAGTCTGAATCAGCGGCGGTATATCGGGAAGTAGCGTCGCCGGCAACTGACTTGGGAGCTCGATGCCGTTTTTCCTCAGAACGACGAGATGCATTGCCGTACAGAATTCATCGAGTGCCAGTTGACCATCTCGGTCGATATCACTAAGCTGCCAAATGCGAGATAGTTCCTCTACGGGCAATCGACTCTTCTCGAAAAACTCTTTGGCCTGTTGTCCTTGAATTTTTCCACGCGTTAGATCAGTCTGCATTTTTTGAAACTGTTCTGCGTAGTAGGCCCGCTGCTCTTTCGTTATGCTCCATATGCCCGCGGTATCCTCGTCATCGTCCTCGTCGGCCGCGCCTCCGAGAAGATGACATTGTTCCTCTGCTTGCAGCTGCAACATTCTTGATGAGGACCAATCGTTTTCGGTCCGCTGAAAAGTGGTCCACGTCCTGTCCTTCGGGCTCGTGGTCTGCTGCGACTCGTCGGGGCTGCTGTCTTGGGCCTGAGCGGCTGAGTTGTAACAACTAACGATGTTGTTATTGTTGATTATGATCGATGTGTGATGGGAGAGGTTGCTCAGTTTCGGCAGAGGAAGTGGAGCTGCCAGAACTTCGTTGGAAGGCTTCATCCCGTTCTGGGCTCCGGCGATGAGTTTGAGGGCGCGGTAGAATTGAGTGCGTCCGAAATGTCCGACTCGTTTCGCTCCGGAGAGTTCTGTGATCTGCGAAATATCGAACGTCAGATCTAGAGTACCTAGACGGTTTGGTTTCCGCCGGAGACAGAAGCTGACTCATACCTGCTGGAGGGTGTCGGTCGGTAAATTCGCGGCTCTGAGCAGGGCGCTAGCCTGGGAGCCCTGAATCCTTCCGTCACCACCGTTATCGAAGTTTAGGAAAAGCTCCTCGTAGAAACAGCGTTCATCAGCGGAAAGCTGCAGCTTGCAACAATCTGTTTGGACGCAGAGGAGGAAGATGGAAAAGTCAATTCACGATTTCGGATAGGTGCGAACGGGAGAACCATAGCGGGAATCGGAGCACCGAAGCACTCGGTCTTTGCCGAGAGTTATGCGTGTCGGATCCTGATCGGAGACTGCTCATGAGGATTCGAGAGCTCACCTGCTGTATTCAGGCCTGAGCCTGCGTCCATGGGAGCAGGACCCGCTGCGAGCGATTGATTTTAGTTTGTCCTGTTTCGCATAATTTTCTTTAAGCGGCAGACCCTGGAAAATTGATCAGCTCTTTGAATGTCTGACAAGATTCATCCGAATAGAGAGGCTAATGTAAGAGCCGCTGGAGCTCTTCTGACAGCTGCCGGTCAAGTGAAACATTTTCAGTTTTGGATGGATCGAAGCGATTCTCCCGTGCGTCTGCGGTCAATGTCGGTCGAAATTCGTGAGCAGATGCAGTGAGTCAGCGATTGTCACTTCAGACCAGGCGTAGGCGTTTTTATGGCTGGACGCACCAATCCTTCGTTCCGGGAAAATTATCTGGCCGAATGCTATTTACAAATCTGACTTCGATGGTTATTGAGAACAGCGGTACATTTTGAAGCACAGCCGCGATTCGGCATTGTATACCCGAATCGTAGGTAAGCCAAGAGCTCTCCCCGTTTCGAATACGATCGTACCGCGCATCCTAGAAGAGAGCGGATTCAGCAGCGGACGTCCACAGAAAGTTGACAGACCGTCGGGGACTGTATGTTTCCGCTCAATCCTACGGAATTCTTCGGAGCGAATTCACGGAAAGCTCCATCAGCGGTTCGGGACGAGCGCGGTCCATACTGTTTTTACTGTGAGACCCGTCCCACTTCCACGCTGCTTAGGCCTTTTCCTTGATTATCCGATTATCCGGCCGTCGTTCATCGTCGAGCGAAGCTCGGAGACGAATCGATCGATGGTCCGATTTCGACTCGGCATTTTTAGCCCGGCATCCGTGTCGTCCAAAATAGACCCGAGGAACACCGGATAAGACCACATCCATCAGAATATTTCGAATGAGGTCTCCTGAACAAATTGAGGACTGCGCTCACGATTTATGAGTTTTCCCTTATTGATGGCGTTCCATTCGATCGAACCAGGAAAGACGAATGCTCAGATGGAGCTTGCGCTGTTACGATAGCGTTCAAATGAACGCAGCGAGCGTCAGCGTATACTCGAATAAGCCAAAGCTTTGTGACAGTCGATTGATGACATATATCGCCCGATAGAAATCTCGCTGAACACCTGACGTCACCGTAACTGCCACCATGACTAGAACAGCAACGGTTGGAGGCAGGATTACACTGGCCGCCCCAAACCCCGGAGGGGACCTCGAGTCAGTCGGAACGTCGCGACGAAACTCCACCGTTATCGCACTGAAACCTACGACACTTGACGCGATTACTCATGCTGCCGACGTCGCTCACGGGGAATACAACTGTCCAGCTCGACCGCAGACTCGCGGAAACCCAACCACGACTCTGGATGTAGGATCAACAACACCGCTCTAACTGCTGGCGCTCAGTATGTCATGGCATGCCAGGTCGCGAGCGCCGGAGGCTCTCCGACAGCCCCTGGAGCGTCAAACCCCCGCATAGGAGAGAGTCGCGAGCCCCCCATCCATTTGGTGGAATTTCCGCTGACGGTGTTCCACCATGACATTTCAACGCCGTGGAGATTCCAGCGAGCAAAGATTCTCTTAGAAACCGCCGAAGGACTGTGCGATCACGGAACGATTGGCCTGCTCGGAAGACAGAGAATTCACTCACCAATGGGCAGCGGGTGTCGATCTGTCTTGGGGAAACTTCCGTCGCTATTTCAGACTTTCATGTATCGCAGCCGTCACCGTGTGGGTTGATGGTAAAGCTCTACCATCACTATCACCACCATAATACACAAACAGACACAGATAGATCCGGACTCACGGACAGACTTCCACCCAGACACTAGGTCCCCTCCTCAGTACTTCGATATGGGGAAGAATGCAGAAAGGGCGTTCCTCTGGAACGCAGGAAAACCTAATCCGGGCATGCGTTCCCGAGGAACATACAGGACAGGGTCGTTATGCGGTTTCTCCGAGCGAAGTCGGGAAGTCTACGATGGCAGACGACTAAACAGACATCGGTGGTGATGATGATCTTTGCTGGAAACTCGCAGAGGGAGCCGCCATGCGCTGCTTTTTCCTGGGAGAAAGCGAGACGCTCCTCTCTCTAGAGGATGAATGGCTTTTCATCGAGCTCGAAATAGAATAGCAGCTCGGGGTCTACATCTCTGGACGAACTGGGGCCAATGCAAGGTCTGTAAGTCGTCGGATTCCGTGATGCTCCTTCGACGAATCGGTTCGGAGCGTATTCGATGGGACAATTTTCAAATGCTATCCCGATCCTAGTGGCTCGGGGTGCATCTCCCTGACCTCGTCAATCCATCGGCTCTCCACGGAAAGGAGAGTAAGTGAGTACATATCACGAGTGGCGTAGTTTTTGTCACGGGAATACTCCGTTCCGCTCAGACTGTCGACTATGGTAGTGGAGACGCTGGCAGGACGAGGCATCCTGCCTTCGAGAGCTGAAGTTCCGCTTTGGGACCCGTATTTCCGTTTTTGAAGGAAATTGGTGGTCCCTTTCTTCATCCTATCGGACACATTTGCCAACTTGATCTTTCCCCAGAACTGACACCTCAATGACATCAATGACTGACTTGAGTACTCGATCGCTCCTTCGAGTCAATGCGGATCTCCGGCTGATTAGAAATCGAACGTGCAAAGCTCCGGTTATTGCTTTGGTTGAGCGAGGAAACGTCGACGTCGGAGAGGATTCACTGCTGATCCGGTATGCCTTGATCTCATTTCGAAGTCTGGTGGAGTCATGTCGTGATGCCCCCAGAATATCGGGTGTGGGCACGTCGCTCAGGCGTCATGCACCGGCCCCCTGTCCGGGTCCGACGATCTTGAAAGGATCTCGACTTGTAGTGTACAGGGTGCGGCAGCTAAATTGAGACTTTTTTCATCGCAACGCCCGGCATAGAAGGAATGCATCCATCCGAGAGAGGTGTCCGCCATGTTAGGCCTAATCAAGAGTCTATCGAATTATGATGTCACTTGACCGGTACATGTGCCTAAGCTGGTAAGACTGGCTTGAATACACTCCATTGTCATTTACCCTTGCGCCGGCTATGGCCCATAGCCTATGGGGCTCGAGCATTGAGAATGGAGATTCACTTCAGCGCGAGAATCGCCGCTTCGACCGCATCGTTGTCGGACCAGTTCGGAGAGCAATCGCTGGGTTAGAGCTCTGGTTATGATATGATTCAACAGTCCTAAGATGCCGCCTCACACCGCAGACGCGTCTCCCAGATAGATGCTTTCTTCCTATTCCGGGCGGTGCGATGAAAATAATCCCAATTTAGCCGCCGCACCCTATAGACCGTAGACGGCTCGATCGACCTTACGACTGAATTCTACGAATGACTCAGTCAGTAGATTCGCACATCGCACAGGGAGCGGGACTGCTATTCGTCACGCGCTTGATCATTATGAGAGAGAAATTCTCGCATCATGCCCTGATTGGAAACCGCGCGTGGGAATCTCTTCTAGTGAGCCCTCGATTCGTCAAACAAAACACTTTGGAACCCCATAAGACGCTCCCCGTCGGAAGCTCCGTGGTGGAGGCGATTTGAGTCCGCGGAGTGTTCTCTTGACATCATATAACTGGCATGAGCTCGACAGACGCGATCCGGAGTGCGGAGAACTCCCTCGATCATTTAGCCAGGGATGTTGATTTATTGTGTAACTAGCAATACCCGTCGCGCTTCGCTGCGACAATCGAATCCCGAGGGTACAACAAACGACAGAGACTGAGATTTCCTCCCGGTATTTCGAGAATCAGAGTGAGAGAATCAGGTTTTCGGTCCGTTTCCCCGTTCACCCGTTTCCCTGGTCTCCCGTTTTTCCGGTCTTCGTTTCCCCCTTCTCCCGTTTACCCCTCCTCCAATTTCCCCCTCCTCCCGTTTCCCCGTTCTCCCGAAAGTTTAAGTTCCTCAATTTATCCATTCCTCATACATATCTCTCGCGTTGTTCGCTCTGTCCCCTCTCCCGCCTCGTCTCTACAATTGTTTGAAATTCGTTGTTCCCAGTGTTGCCTGTCCCCAGGAAAAACGAAGTTGAGGAAAAAACCTGAAAATCGGCATTGTGAATTGTGACGTACACCCGGTAATGGTTTACGAAACAAAACCCACAAAAACTTTCCTGTCCGGACTTGCAACCGAAATTTCGTGGAGAAGCTTTGAAGTTTTTGAGAGTTACAAGTTACAACGACACAAGTGTACAAACAGACATACATATACAGTAGGTTTTTTTTCTATAACAACCCCCCTGATAGATAAAGACCGAGACGGTCCGAGTCGGAGATCTGATATTTTCTTCAGATCGACTTTCATCCGTTTCGCCGGAGTCACTTCGGTCGTAGGTGCACTCCCCCCTAAAACACGACACCGAAACTAAGTCACGGTCCCGGTCATATCTCGCAATGAAGCAAGGATGCTAACCTCCTTTTGTTGCTCTCCTCCCACGACTAGTGGAGGGCTGGTCATAGTCGACATTCGATTCGGGGGTTCTGTCACTGTCGTTCATCGTACAGAAGTCAAATTAGAAGGAAAGATGATTGACGATTATAATCGTGGTCGTAGCGAGAATGGAAACTCTGACTCAATGTCAAGCAGTATACGACTGAAGTCCGACGAACGAATCTATTTATTTCCCCATCGTAAACACCAAGCACTCCATTGACATGTTTAGACAGGTAGGAAGACTTTCTTTTCCGGTTGGGAGATTTTTCGAGCCGGTACGAATTCTTCATTCTTTCCATGCTCCTTTTTCTCTTTCTGTTCTCTTCCTTTGTTGAGCATGTCTCTATCTGAATTCATCCGCCAGGAACGACGGCGAGCGTTTATTTCTTCTTTGAGGAATTGGAAAAGACTTACGAATGCGATGTCTGAGAGATCATCAGCGTCCTTGGAGAGCAAGTATTTTACGCGTATATTTTCCGGTAAACATTCTCGGAGACCGATTATGGTGAGGGCTCGATACGTTGATGCATCTGTGTCCAAAGCTCTTAACGCGTTCACATGTCCCCAGGCAGCATCATAAAGATTTTCGAGTCCTCTGAACTAGTCTTCTCGGTTCACTTTGAATCTCTTGGTTAGGTCTCGAATAGCCTGGAGGTGGGAAGATTTCAAATCGGTTGTGGAGAGATAGTGATCTCCGAGGTCCTGCCAAGCTAACTTGAAACAGTCTTCTACTCCCGCGTAGTTGTGTACCAACTTGAAAGCCTTGGTGTTCCTCTTTAATGAAGAAAAAAGATATGAGTATTTCTGTATTTCTTGGAGGTTTTCGTTGTCAATCACTTCCTTTTCGGATAGAGTACTTTCGACCAGACCCACGAAGAACTCTTTCCGTCGAATTCTGTCTTTCGGTCCTTCTTTCGACTTTCTTGGACGTTCTTGTTGAGTATCTCCTGCACCGACTTCAATCATTTCGATCCTCTCGAGGTGTGGAGCAATCGTTGTTTTTCTCAGAGAGTGATCTGTTGGTAAGGATTGAAACATTCTCTCGAGAGTGATCAAAGTGTGACGGTCGATCTTTTCCAGCTTGACGAACTCTTCTGCCTCTTCTGCTGAAGTTGGTAATTCTGTACCTCGAAGCTCGAGGAGCTTGGTTCGGTATTGGGTCAACTTTACGTATGCAGCTGAGGATTCATCCTTCAGCCAGATTGTTGTAGAATCCGTCTTTTTCCGCTTTGGTTATGAGACCTGTGCACAGAGATGATAAGGTATCTCGTCGGAGCTTCCTCCGACCCGCGGAATAGCGAGTTGTTCGTGCCATGTCGACTGCGCCAGTAATTGGAGCCTCTTTATTTCCTCTTATATAGAGAAGCTATCGGCTACATTTGTCAACATCATTGTCGGCACGACGAATAATTTCGAATACCAAATACTCCTCGCAATCACTCTTGCAGGAACTGTTAGTCGAGATTAGTTGAGATTTTTACGGTTTACGATTTTGTCGGAGTTCTCGTTTAGCCATAAGGTCTCAAATATGCGCCAGGATCCATGATCCCTCATCCCAATGACTTCCGACCGACGCAGCTGAACCTGCCTCACCTCCCGGCTCTCAATTAAGGTGACTGAGCTTAAATCTAGACAATGGATTCCGACCTTAGCGACTGGAGTAAGACCATTCAGAGTTCGTCTGCGGCTTCAAAAGGAAAGGATTCCACGCGTTCGAGGTTCACTCATAAACGCTCAAGCTCATTGCCTGGAGGCTCAATTCGGAATTTTGAAGCGAATCAACCGTCGACGAAGTTCAGCCGACGGCTTTCAAGAGCATCCGCTCAGGGAACTATGATAGTTCCTTCCCCTTTCCCTGGCGGGCGCCCGGAGCTCAAGCTCACTCTACGTCGCGATCGTATACGGGAATGCGGATCTGTTTGATGCAAAAATTGCAGCTCCCTTCAGAGAGAGGATCAATGGATAATTGTGAACGCAGAACTTTTTCACTGCAGTCTCATGGACTCGATGCTGATTCGAGGCAAAACCGCATGACTCTAACTAGCGAATACAATCTAAGCATAGCCGCGATGAATTGGCTCGCGGTAATTCCGGACACCAATGCGTCGAGAGAAATGAGCAGCTTCGACGGGCTTATGCCCAACCCTGACCTCCCGTCGAAATCGCCGCACAAAAGGATGCGGAGTTTATGACGGATTGGGACGAACGTGTCAGAGTTTTCAAGAGCAGCCGTCCTAACAACGTGTCCTTGGTTAGAGACTGCGCCACGACATGCTTATCGTCCTCCTTCCATATTTATCCCTCTCCCACGATTTCTTTAGTTGGCAATGATATGCACACCGTGCCAGATGATCTCAAAATATTCCGTCTGCGGAGCGGGCAAAAAAACAATCTCATCATGGGAGTGCACGCCTCGAACTCGACTGATGGGAGTCCCCTCAGCAGGGGAGATATTATTCAAGATCCCTAATTTCGAAGCAGAACGAAGCATCATGCGGAGTGGAGAATGTAGCGATCGTAGGAGATCGGACGTCTTGGTCGGTACCGGAGAAGCCACAGTCCCGAGACCCGAGAATCATTTGAAGTAGGAGAGAATCGAAAGCCGACGAACATGTGTTGGTCGTCGGCTAAGCCGATTGCGAGTCCTCGATTCCCTCTTCAGAAGTAGATACCTTGATGCCTCTCTTGACTCGAGTATCGAGCATAAGCGTGGTCCATCGACCACGAACTTCTTTCTGGCGCGCTGATCGCCGTGTGATTGCATTCCACGTCGGATCATTCAAGCAAAAAGCTACAAAAATTCGGACGGATCCAGAGAGAGAAATTTATTGGCGCCGGCCCCAGTGATTCCTCGATGCAGCTTGCGAGCTCCTAGGACCGGCCAATCGCTTACTCTGTTTCGGGATAGACAATTGGCGGGGCGTTTATCCCTGACGACCTATAACAAAGAAATCGAGGGTTCAGCGGAATTTCCAACTTTCCGACGCGAGCACACGCAGCGCCTTCTAGATTCTATCCTAAGGAGCGTTGCGATTTTGCACCGATTCCCGATTTGTCCGACGATACGAAACCGCCGAATCAGATCACGGCTGCCGTCCCCCGAGGAGGTGTCGACGTGGAAGGCGGCTCTCCTTCCTCAGCTTGAGGGAGCTTGACCACTAACCTCGAGTAGAGAGGAAACTGCTCTTCCGAGAGCTTCCCGAGCAGTCAAAATCAACCGACGTGATGGTGTCTGCACATTCCCAAGTGCTCTCGCCTCTCGACGAATTCTCCTTGGAGAAAATCTACAGATTCCTAAGTTGATGCGAACCCCTCAGAGAATAAGGTCCCTCGTGTAAGCTCATATGAGCGTACATCAATCTGTGTTGTTCGCGGGAAGCTTCCGCAGAATTCTACCCTTTAACAATCAGATGACGCCTGTGGTACGATAACCTTTAGTTCCCCAGTTTTCGAATGCCGCCATCAACAACGATTCTCGTCGACATATGGCTCGCGAGATATGGAAATGGAAGAATGGGCAGATTATTATCAACACTGGGGATAAAAGTCGCTCGTCAGCATCGGCCATGTCGCCGGAACAAACCCCCGCGCGCGGCATGCTGGTCCTTGGTGTAATCAGATACCGAACCACCGAGGTCCCGACGGAATCCCGACTCTGCAATCTTCCCCGGGGATGTTTGGATATCGCGCAATGCAGAATCCGCCGTGGGCCTCCTGCAAGCGATTGTCTCGTCGAGAGGCTCGACGTGAAAGGCTGCGTCCAATGGCGATAGCGAAAGGTCAGATACACGAAATGAGCTTGAATGTAGGCCTTATGCTTCATACTGCGGAGAAATCCTTTATGTTTATGACGATCCCGCCGTCGGGTTAGTTCCGCAGCTCTTAGAGTTCCCGCCAAAGAATACACAGGATGTTTTCACTCCGGAAGCCCTCGGCCGAGGCAAACACTGAGCGGCCGCCTCCCGACAGCTCCGCCAAAGTCGGTATCCCCCAGTTGTTGGTGAGCTCCTGCTGTCTCTCGGTACTCCTTGAGAGGGGAAGCTCCGCAATCCCATGTGGATGTTTCCTCATGGTCAATCCCTAAAATCCAGGATGAAATATGAGCAGGTCCTCGAGCACAACGCAGAGGATGAGGGAGTCATCATGGCGAGCGGCATGCCGGGTCACCTGTCGGATATGCCTGCTGTCTCGAAACGCCCACTCTCGGGAACCGATAATCGTCCCGTGTTCATCGCTCACAGCTGTTTAACGGAAATGTTTTCCTCCATTGGGGTCACGGCATCGTTCCCGGGAATAGCTGGAGCAGTGATTCTTAGCGTGGTTCTCAGGATGCTGGCGGGTCACGCAATTGCAGAGTTCAAGATGAAACTCGAGCTGATTCCTCTTGGGGATTATTCTGCTGAGACGTCCGGGTTTTCAGTGATAGAATTGCCTGTCGAGATCGACGTGGAGACTGACTGTGGGATATTAGGCTGTTACTTAGTACTAATTTTTACATTCGGTCTCGATATAGCCGCGATGAGGTTCCGTAGCGATAAACGTGGCTCTAGAGCTCGATCGGCGTCGTGTCACTGCTCAGAGCTTAGAGGACTGGGAGGAATCGACACTTCGCTCGCAGAAGCTATTCTTCGCTCGGTCGCTCTATTACCGTCAACTTTCGTGTATAATAGTTCAGAGGACCTCCGATCACCACGCTCATGCTCGCACCGGTCGGCCGATGCTGGTTCAGGGTATGGGGACGTGGGGATCATTTCTTCCCTGTATGTTTGTCATGGTTTTTTTCCTGATATTTCGCCCCCGTCACACCCACTCCCGACTCAGTTCCTTGGCTGAGAGACGGCTCGCCGGATATTTAGCGCCCCACGAGTCCTTCGAAGCATCGACGAGACCCGAATCCCTCAGAAGACATCAACGCTTAGCTGTCCGAGAGCTCTTGGTTACCGAGTTCGATGCCGGGGTAGATTCAGCCCCGCGAGATTGTTTGCGGAACAGACGAGATGACTCTCGATTCTGTCAGGATTCTGACGTATCGCTCTGTTTATTCTCGATCTGATGGGGGGATGCGATGTCCGGGAATCAACACGAAATAATATGCACGCTCCTATCGAGCTCGCTCGTGATGAAGACATCTTGAAGCTCAAGTGGAGACTCTGGCTCTCGATCAGACTTCCACGCAGATCCCTCCCGAACGGAAGATAGGATTCGAAGGAATTTCATAAGTCATATGACTGCGCTACCTTCGTAGCGGGTCCTTTATTCCGTTCAGTAAAAATAAATTATGAATAGGAGGATCTCGAGGCACTACATTGAGCCTGGTGTCGATGTTCCCAGTCTAAAATTTAACTTAATCCTGGTTTTCGGCTCCTTTTCCCCGAAAAGAAAGTCAGTCACGATCGGAAGCCGAACCAGCTGGCAAGCTTCGCCTTCGGACAAGGCTATGACCAAGGTGAATAGCTTCTGAAACGCTGATATCCTGTCTGGATGTCGCAGATTGTGACTAAAATCTCCTCGAATCCTTATAGTTAGGTTCCTGGCGTCATTTTGAAATATCTTGTTTCTGTTGCGTAGCGCTCGACTTATAAGATCGCAGCAGAGCAGCGAATTCCGTCTTGGGATCCTCTGCCAATTTTCTCGGGTCGCCCATTTCCGATATAGAGCCAGACTTGAAGACGATTACCCGATCGAAGTCGAGGATAGAGGTGATCCGATGCTGAAAATACACAATTCCGAATTCTCGTCTCTCTGCTGAGGAACTCATATCAACGCCTCCAGCGTCCTATCTGCCGTATACTCCGAGACGACTCCAGATGGAGTATGTATTTTTCTGTCTAGACTTCAGACCGAGACTCAACCGAGCGAAATATCATTGTGTCCCCGGGGGACGCGGAAAAACTTACCGCAATCGCTATTACGGTGGCCTCTTTCCATACGTCACGAACGATTTCCAGCATCTTATCTTCGAGGGACACATCGAGTGAAGAGGTGGCTTCATCAAGGACGAGCACTTGAGACGGGCTGAGGACACTCCTTGCCAAGCAGAACAGCTGTTTTTCTCCAGTACTCAAGTTTGAGCCCTCTTCGGAAATTTCGGCGTCTGTCGGGAATAATGAAGCCGTTTTAGACGACCGAGTTGGCAGTTCGGCTCATCAGGTTGAACCCCTCAACCACGAGACTGTGATTCCGCCCGGACGCTCAATGGATTGCATGGGTATACGTGGCTCCGCTTGCGCTCACCCAGTCCGCCGGCCTCAGTAACCATGTCCTTGATGCGAGCTTTTTCCAAAGCTTTCCAGATCTCTTCATCGGAACACTTTCCTTCTGGATCGAGGTTTTCCCTGACCGAACCTTCGAATAGAATCGGGTCTTGGGGAATCATCGATAAGCGTGAACGCACTTCGTGAACGTCCTCGCCCGCTAAATCGATTCCGTCGATTCGGATCTGGCCTTTGGTCAGAGGCACCATTTGGAAGAGTCCCAAAACTAGAGACGATTTACCCGAGCCCGACCGACCGCAAATTCCGACCTTAAAACATCGAGGAGGGAGAACATTTCAGTCTCGGAAGGGCGAGGCTCTCTGTTTGCTTTGGATTTTCCCTGACTAGGGATCGGAGTGTACCTTCTCGCCCGGTTTTATCACAATGTTGACATTGTCAAGTACAGGCTGATCCGACGTATCGTATTGGAGAGTCAAATTCTCGAATTCGACAAGGCCTCGAGTGGGCCAACGTCGTGGGGCTGCGGGAATTTCTTTTATTGCTTTCAAATTTCTTCCTTCGGATTCCGCTGGCAGTTCTCGATAGGATTCTATACGTTCTACTGAGCTCATGTACATTTCGACGGATGTCAGGTTCTTGACGACCCAATTCAGATACTGAGGTACCAGCAGCGTATACGTCATTGTGAGACCTGAAGCAAAGGACGGAGTCATAATCGTAATGAAATTATGTGAATTCCTGGTGGCGAAGTCGCATTGAAAGGAATAAGGCGAACCGACGCACCGACGGACGATGCGGTGATGAAGCCCTCGAGAGCCGCCACGATATTTGTGACGATGATCAGGAACAATATGCCAGCACCGAGATAGTCCAAGGATACCCCGAGCCAGCAATTCGCCGAGTTCGTCATGATCGCAGCGACGTTGTTGGAGTTCAGCAGCGCGTGCAGCCGCACAATGAAGTCGGATTGTCGTCCATATGCCCGAATCGTATGGAGTCCATTCAAGGACTCACTGAAGTGTGATATGATGGGTGATTTCGTTATACACTCGAGTCGTTGCAGCTCTCTGAGAAAAATCGGAAGACCAAATGAAAACCCCTCGAGGCCCCCGCTTTGCTCTGACGGGAATCCCGATGCGGCCCACCACCGTTGAGCTCGATGATAATAATGATCAATGCAGTGGGTTCGGTCGGCTGGCATCTCCACGTCAATCTACACGAACGCAAACTCACCGCGAGCTAGCTCTGAAGAATTGTTGAAGGTACCAATAGACGGCGAAACTTATTCCGACGAACACCACGCTCACTGGACTGACGATGACGTTCACCAGCGCGACGGAGATGCAAATCAGGATGAAGCGGGTGAGTACGGGGAAGGATATCGGTAATTTCCTATCCACGATGTTGAGATCGGCTGAGAAGCGATTTATGATGCGACCCACTGGGTTTTGATCGAAAAACGTTTGAGAGCAGCCCACGACTCTGATGGAGAAATTCAAATATGAGCGTCGAGTGTCGATTTTTAAAAGCGTGCTCCGCAAGACCGCGCGAGGTCGAGCCTCAGGACAGCGCTTACCTCTCGAGCATATTGTCGTGCAGGGGCTTCGTTGCGCGGATAGTGGTCAGCTGAGCGGAGAGATTAGCCACCAGGGCAAAAAGCACGTTGGCGAGCGACATCCCGGCGTACACATACAGGTAATACCAGTTGGTGGCTTCAACACTCTCGGCGGGAGTCAAAGAGCCGTTGTTGCGGTTGATGTCCGACCATCTCATTAGCCAGAAATCGCTGGTTATCTTGCACAGCTGCATTATTCCAAAGAAGAGTACGCTGAGGAAAACCACGAAGAACCCACAGGCCTTCGCGTATCGGGTGTAAACTCTGGATGAAATCGAGCCTTCGCAGCGGTCTTCGTTTTCCACGAAACGCCATGGTGTCAACTCCCCGGAGTCGTTCTCGTTCGGTCCGAGACTGACTTCGAGACGACCACCTGGAGGAAAATTTGGAGTTCAAATCGATGTCGCCCTACTCTCGTCTCTCGTCTCGCTATCGCCCGGTCGAGTCCTCTGGGACACGAACTAATCGTTCGCGATTCGTCGGAATTCGCTGAAAATTCCGTCAGGAGATCGCTCAGAAGCGATGTAATGGATGTTCTCTCTCGGCTCGCGGGGCATCAACAAATCGAATTCTTTCGGGATCGAGTCCCACCCGAGCCCCGCGGCTATATTTCCTTCCATGGCGACCGATCGGTACGAGAATCGAAGGTCCGATTCCTTGAAACAAGGAGGAACTGACCTTCGTGGTCGTAAGTGGTCATCACGGTCCCAGCTGTGTGAGCTCGATTCCTCGACGGTGATGTGGAGCCATCAAGAATCCCTCCTCTCAGAAACAGCCGCTCACTGAGTATCGATCCGCGGCGCTCTGCATTCATGGAAATGGAATTTAGGTTCTCAGAGGGCTCATACCTAGAGCTCAGGAGACGAGATCTAGATCCTGGGGAATTTTCCCTCGAGATCCCGAAAGGATCCTCCGACACATTCTGATTCTCCCGACTGACCTTTATTGCATCGCTCGGCGCACGAGCCATGGAACGAGCTTTCGAAGTCGGGTATCTGTCGGGTTAGCGAGAAGGCTCGATCCATATTGCGCTCGATTGATTCCGTGAAGGACATCTTCCGCTGCGACTTCGTTCGTTTCGGTTTCAAGGAATCCCGGCGCTTTTTTTCTGCGAATTCGAGGTGGCTTCCGCGCTCGAGGCACTCGAGACTCTCCGGATGATCCGCTCGCACTTCCTGACGTATGAGAGGGAATGCGAGTATGAGCTCGACAGTTATAAGGAAGGGGGGGCGGATGGAATGAACAAGAAATCTAGAAGGACGGACGCTCCCAAGGAACTCACATCGTATGTCCCCTTCGCGACCACCGTATGGTCATTGAGGATGACGAGATGGTGCGCGAAAGCGAGTAAATCCTTCTTCTGAGTCACCATGACCACGGTCTTATTTTTGTCGACCAGCATTTTCTGTATGGCGTTCTCGAAGACAGCTCGCGCAACGTGCGCATCCAGTGCGCTCAATGGGTCGTCCAGGATGAAGAGCCTGGCGTCGGAGTAAATAGCCCTAGCGATCGCAATGCGTTGGCGTTGACCTCCGCTGAGATTGGCGCCCCTTTCGCCGATTTCTGTGAGGTCACCAGCGGGCAGCGTGTCCAAATCGGTGACCAGAGCACAGGCTTCAATGACACGCCGATATCTCCTCACTTCATAAAGTTGGCCGAAGATGATATTGTCCCTTACGGTGGCATTCTCCAACCATGGCCTCTGAGGCACGTAGGCTACGAAGTGCGTATTTTTGCTAAAAAGGTAGGAGAGTTTTTCATTTAATTCTAGCGCGGACGTCACACGGCTCTGAACTCTGAACTGAAGCAATGAAAAGCGACCCGGAGCAAGGAGACTCCGAAGTCGGATCTCGAGCCCCAAGGGTACAGATATATCCTCTGAATAATCCCCCCACGGGAGGAAGGAAGATCGAGAAAAACGTGTGAACGCATTCGGCAGCTGTTGCCGTGGCGAAACTCATTTCTGCGACGAAGCGATCAGGGAAGTCTCAGAGGAGCGGTCGAACGCGAAAACTTTGGGAAGTTCGAAGTTGGCTGCGTATGATTGATCGTCACTGACAGCCGAGTGGCTCATCTATGCATATATGTACATCGAAGTATTCGTAAACAGAGGTCCCGATACTTGAAATAATACAATCTCCTTAGAAGAATTTCAATGAGATGAGCTCACGTACTCCAACCATTCAATGGATCCCTTGGCCAGTTCGAGTTCGCCGAGCATTGCACTGAGCAGAGTTGTCTTCCCGGCTCCACAAGGACCCGCGATGAATGTCAACTTCCTCGACGGCAGATTCAAATTCAAGTCACGTAAAATCTCTACGCCCTTGCTCCATTCAAGGGTTCCATTCGAAATGCTCAGGAAACTCTCTGCCATGGACGTCGATGCGGCATCGAAGAAATCCTCGTCTTCGCAGGTTGAGCGCTGCGATCCAAGCAAACATTTCAGGTCGTCGATGGGGTCGCAGGACAGAAGTGACATAATTTTGCAATCAGAGAGCGCGACTGGTGTAACAAGGCCTGACCCTCCTCGTCTAGCTTGCTCAGCGATCTCACCTTCGAAACGTCAGTGTTCCACGGAGTGATTCTCTCCATTTCTGGACGGCTGAGGAACTCTTCGAGGCGGCGGGTAGAAACCATCGAACTGACTATGATTGGAATCGCGAACGGAACGATGAACAGCGGTAGGGTGAGTTGATTGAAGAGAGACACCGACGTGAAAATGACACCGGCCTGCAGAGGTTCCCCTCCCAACCAAGTATGGATGGCGAAACAGAGCAGCGGCACGCATACCGACGAGAACATCGTCAGGAAAGCTGAGGAAATTGAGGAGAGCATTAATCGGGTAGTGAATCCCGGGGGACTTCGCGACGCCGCGCTAGAATGTCAATAGAATACTCCTCGCTTCCGGAGCGCAGGATTCATTGCAGAAGGTGAAAGAAAATTCCAGAGACTGCATTCAGCACCCACTGTTCATCGCGACGAAAACGGCGTCCTTTTTCAACAGACTGCGTTCGCTTGAGCGAATTCGCTGAATTCTCTCAACGAAAATCTTCTCCCAGCCCAAGATCTTCAACAGTTTAACACCTTGTATGAGTTCTCGAGTCTTTTTCATTCGCTCGTCCGAAATCGACTGAAAAAACAGAAAACGAACTTTGAATCGGTGCATCTGATTCCGCCTATGCGCCATGATAAGGGGGCATCGATCTCTGTCGAACTACCCACCATGATACTGGCTTGAATGTGACTCATCGCGCGGGAGATGAGGTATTGCACCGGAGTAATGAGTACAAGTACGCATGACGATAGGAGAACCGAAATTCCAAGAACCCCGTAGATGAGGTAAAGGATCAGACCGATCTGCGAAAAGATGGCCAGAGGTTCTCAAAAGGTGCTCGCACGATATCATCTATTGACATAAGGCGAACGAATGCGTCGAGTAGTATCCAATGGGCAAAGCTGCGATGGCTCGATGCTCGACGAATAGCGGTCTGACCTTGAGCGGCAACATCCAGATGTAATGTAAATTCGTAAAAATCATCATCACATTCTGACAATCCGTGGACATATGATTGACGATCGCTCTGAATGGATGAAATGAGAAAAATGAATCTCGGCTCCCCCGTAGAGCGAAGAGTGATGCATCATAGGAGCATTGTTCCCCGCAGCGATACGCACCCCATTGACGTTGTGGTTTGTGCTCTTTTATAGCTTTGAGTGTCTTGGTCTTGAGTAGTGGGAGACACTTCGTCTTCGTCGGCATCTTCAGAATCCTGCTGTAGACGCAAACGCAATGTCTTTGAATAAATTGCCGTCCGCAATGCTGACTGAACGTAAACGCTCTGCATGGTGACCATGTGCATAAAGTTGTTTGAAAACGTCGATTGCAAGAGCGTGCATAGGAGAACTCCCACTGCGAGCACGTATCCGTTTCTGAAGAGATCAGAGACTGTGCGCATTTCGTGCTGAAATAATGGCTCACGCGTCAATGATCATCCCACGTCCCGTCGCTGGGAGAAATACTCGTATGTTCTTGAGCGATTCCTATCTCGTCCACTCACGTCCACGGGTCCAAGATCCTCCGTCTCTATGAACTTGATTATGTACTTGATAGAGATGGGACCTATTAGCGCCAATAAGTCGCCACCGATCTGAAGAGCGAGCGGTCCACCGATCAGTTTCACGTCTTTTCGCTAAGCGGACCGTCAGTCCGAGACACGATCCGTCGCCAACGAGTACGATTCACGAGCCGGTCATACCTTGAGGAGATTTGCCAATAGGTACTGCTTCCAATACGTCTTAATGTACACTCTCCACAGGTTGATCCGACTCTTGGAATTCGGACTGGAGCGCATTTTCTCATACTCTTTCTGGAGGTATCGATTGAAATATTCGTGTTGCAGTTCGTTAGTGTGTTCCTGGAACGATATCGGATTGAGCGTTTCTTCGATATCAGACGAGACAAGGAAATGTACCGCTGAAAGTCGCTCATAACTCGAAACCCATTGACCCACTCGAGTTATCTGTCCTAGATCCTCTTGTAAAAGCGTTCTCATGTAGCCTTTTCGGAGTAGCGGCAGGACCCAGGCGAATGTGACTTGACTCCAGAGAGGTGCCAGCGAATATCTGTCCATTCAAAACAAGTTCTTAGATTTTTTTCCAGTTCAAGGAACTACAACATCACGAAAGCGGAAGAATCTATTCGTTTAGGTAGAGAACTCGATCAGGTACAAAAGGAAAGAGCAGCTCACTTGTACACGACCGGGATATCGGTGCACTGGGTGTCCCCACCGGAGAGTCTCTGATGATTTCTGCATCTCTTGGCATATTTAACCTGGAATAGAGGCAGCATGACTGGACTAAGATGCGCAGGGAAAATCTGACTTGCGCACAGGAATCCCGAGAGTGGCAGTCTACTCAGAATCAGAGCTTCTGCCTCTCCGTTGTCGTTTTTCAACAACCACTGTCTCCAAGACCCCTATGGCGGATTTCAGCGAGTAGCTCGAGATAGTCCGGAGACCGCTGAGGACCTTTCGGGGAAACTCTCCGACTCTGGATCGAGCGATTCTAAAATTCGTCATCTCTCCCTCCAATAGATCGGCCAAGAATCAAATTAAGGAGAAGCGAAAATCAATCAAGGTATCGTCTCAGCGCGATAGTCTCGGTTTCCCCACCTGCGAGATGAGGACGTAGATCTCCAGAAATAGTAGCATTGCCGTGACAACCATCGATGAGAACGTATACAGCACGGGAAGGTGTTCGTACATGGCCCCTTCTTCGACCAGAGAGTACAGCTTGAATCCATACGTGGCGAAGCTCAGTGACCAATAAGCAAGCAGTATCGAAAAGGCTTTCCAACGACGTTTCCGCTCACAGTAGGTGTAGAAAGCGATAGTCGCGAACAAAGCCACGATCGACGTCAATAAACTCAGGAGCGTGTGCAGGGAGTTGCGGAACAATCGCTCGTTGTAAGCAACTTGAACGATACAGTCTTCCAGTCCCATGAAGTGAACGACGATCAGCAGCAGCGTCAGCATCCAACGCGTTCGATGTAAGGGGAGCAGCGTGCTGCACGATGGCCTCCGGAACCGACATGAGCACACCAACCAGAACACCAACGTAAGCAGCGTAACAGTGGTGTGGATTCCAGCGAGCACGATGTTCGCCGCGCATTCTTTGGAATGACCCACGGGGCACAGTTCCGACAGCACATCAGAGGAAAAAATATAACTCGGAGAACTTTTGGCGTTCCGTAACGCGCTGTCGCCAACTTCATGGTATCCCATCGCACCACAGAATCACTTTCTGACCGCTGGATATCCTCAGCGGCGAGCGATGAACTGAGCGCGTGCCGTTTGCACGCACCGCACGCCAGCGTGCATCTCAAAATTCGTCAGCGGAAAGGAGGAGAAGGCAAACAAGCCTCATGTATTCACCACGACCTCCGGTCAACATATGGTCATGGGGAGGTAATAGGCGACCGACTTCCGGGCAGGTATTTTCGTGGGAAGGTACTGCGAACAATACCCCGGAGCCGGATACGAAGAGTCTGACTCAGCGGGACGACCGGCTTGAACACTGAGTAGTATGAATCTCCCGTTGGACTTCGACGATTTTTCGAGAACGTCTGTCGGCGCCGTCATGAAGTGTTTGTCGCAAGAGGCATTCCTCACATTGAGGTTCGCCTCGAATGCCTCGACCTCTCCCAATAATGAAGATCCGGTACCTCCGGGGGTCCCATGCTCGCAATTCCCTTAGCGACGCTCGACAACACGGACGACCGCGCGTCTTCGGAAGAAATCAGAATGTTCCTTCCCCCGAAGAAATAGTGTGGACTCAAGGCACGGCTGGCGGAACTTCATCCGAATAGTCGTATAGATCATTTTTCATGCCTATTAAGCCGGTCATGGTGCTCCATAAATCCAGTCCCTCTTTGGACGTCCGGAGATTTCATTTTCCGCGAAAGCGCAGGAGTCAAGCCGTCCCCTGAGGAGTCAGGAGCAGTGCCAGGATATTCCCTCTCGAAACCATAATGCTGGACAGGACTTACCCCGACGGAGATAGTGGCCCGGATAGGGTGGCCGGGACAGAGGGACCGCTCAGTGACGGGCATGTTCTAAGGTATTGCTAAGATTCGCAGCCCAAGGACCTTTCGCGATGGGGGAATTTGGAACGGCTGTTCCATTTTTTTACTCACTGTATGATTTCGCCGATGCATCCGCCGCATCCGTTCCCTCGTTTCCGTGCCCCCACTCGGAAGCACGATTCCCCGGGAAAGGGATATGGCGATCAAGAATATCCGAGCTACGGTATACACGGAGGGAATCGGGAACGAAGATCATCCGGAACTTTAGGAGCCCGCCCATGCGGTTTCTGAACCACCGAGAACACTCAAAATTCTGCTCTCCGCAGTCGACCCACTCAGTTCACGAAGGAATGAGAACGGCTGCCGCCAGGAGTGTTCAGTAAGATCCCATGCGTCTGCATTCAAGATCTTCGAGGTACGAACCGAAAACGGAGCTCCTGGCAGAGCCTCATTCCCAACGGAAGGTCAGGGTCGATGAGTTTTTCCGCCCCTGAACAGTCCGCACATGAGCTTTCCGCTTCAGGGAGCGGGTCAGTGGGAGCTCCATGGAAAAAGAAAAAAAAGTCAATCTCTCGACTATGGGACGACCGACGGTCGTCGCACACCTGCTGCAATATTAATCGCGCTTGGCACCTGTCAGCCCAGCGAGCTACCACAAAAGGCTTTGGAAGCTCGGAGTTTGTTACTGATTCATTCGGTGGACAAGTGATGAGTAATATGCGGAAGGTCCACAGAGAGAGAGTATCGGAGCCCTCCAGCGTCGGAATCCCCATCTGAGTCCTAACCTGTCTGGAATTTTTCAATTGATTGATCCTGACTCAAGAACTTAGGGAGACAATCAAGACGAATTCGAGGGCATCGACTTCCGAAAAATTCCGGATCCTGGACGGCTTAGGGCCGACGTATTATCGATGAGGCAGGTGATAGAAGCAAATGATCACAAGTTGAATCAGGTTGTCAGAGCAGCAGTCCGACTGATGGACTGATAGAGTGAGATGGTGGCGATGATTGAGGAAATGAATGGAGCAGGGATACTCCATCTCTTTTACCAGAAATCGTTATTTCTCCCGAGCAATTTTCAAGCAGCTGTAGACTTCGATTCCGCGGCTCAGGATATCTCTAAAGACTCAATCAACCAGGCTCCGATATTATTATTCACTCGAGCAAATTATTCGAGACGCTCTCGAGTTCTCGTCAGCATGCGATCCGTGCATGGAGATTCGAAAACTTTCCTTTCTCACGAGCCGGAGGCTTTCTGCTCTCGAATATCGACGATCGGGTAAACTCACCTCTCCAAAGGAGCCGCATGAGTGCACGGACGAGATGGATTCGGATCGTGAGGAGTCTAATTCCGAGGGAAACTCGATCGAATCTGACCTGCCTCTGCTGTCACTCAGTTCGTGTTCCCGCGAACTGTCCATCGCATCAGGGACGCACATGTAAAGGATAATGCCATGGATGACGGGAGATACCTGCGATGAGCGTTTCATCTGTGCTCAAATTCCAATCCACTAGGTCAGGCAGGTAAAATTTAAACCTTACCACGCTGCTTGTGTGCACCCATTGAAAACAGCTCTCTCGTGGTGAGTCCATCTCGTTCAGTTGTCGTAAATTGGAATACGAAAGGCTAGGTGTTGTGGTGTAAGGCGGTAGGTATTGGAACATAAAGGAAGACACCGTCGAGTTCACCTGGTTAATACTCAGCTCGTACTTGGCTCGTACTTTGCTCGTACTTGTTTATTCTGGAATCGGTGGCTCCTTTTATAGTTCTCTAGAGCAAGGGCCACTTTTAACCTCGACATCTCGATATCCGCTATGCTGACTCAGAATCGTTGTAATCTGGTTAGCAGTTTTCCAGTCTACGCGTTAGGCTGGAAAGCCGACCGCGACACTAGGGTTTCCGTCCCACTCTAGAAAGAGGAGGGACGCTTGCGCTGTCTGCATGATGACCTGAGCGCGAATGGCTGTATGGTGACATCGAATTCCTATCCAGAGCACCGGGTTGTGCACAATACCGAAAAAAAATTAAAATTACTCCGATGGCTCGTTGAATCGGCATAGTCCGCTAGAATTCCAGATGATTTCGTGACTCGGGCTTCCATAGGAAAGGAACGACGTGGTCTCGAGGCTCGAAGGTTACGCTGCGGCGTGCGGATTGACTTGAGTGAATCGCCGATGAGGCGCCGTTCCGGGATGAGTTCGCGAGGTATTGACGTGAAAACGTCTTTACCCAGGCTCGGGTGACCTGTTCGATGTACTTCGTCATCCAAATAGCCATAACTTGTCGCACTTTGCGGTCTTATATCTCGATCCTCATTCACGCTGGCCGCAGACTGATTCCTGTATCGAAAGAGAATTTCCGGGATCCCACTCTGAACGAGATCCTGTCGCGAAGCGCTCGATACCCCTCGATCAAGCTCGGAATCTGATAAATAATAGTGAATTCTAGGCTTCTCGTGAGGTTGTGAGAGGAGAATTTTATATATGGAGCTCGATAGAGAGAAAACTGGCAAGATGCAATAGTTCTACTTGATTATTGAGGCGAGGTTCTCTAGACATTCCCTCGAAACTCTTCATTTCCGAAGCTCCCCCAATGTGGAATGATTCGGTCGACTAAACAATGAAGTTTGCCTGAAAACGATGTCTTTGGACCTCGAGTCTGTCGCATCGTAATCGAAAGGTTCCTAATGTGGGAACGCTGGTCTATAATGAGATGTTGCTTCATCAGTAAAACAAAGCTGTATCAATCCTTTCATCCGAAGAATGTCGACCTCATTCTCGTACGGGTCTGCGCCTTGCGCGTCAACTCCCTCGCTCTACGACCGTCCGATTTGAAAGCAAGCTCACACCAAGCCACATCACGAAAGTGATTGCACGGAAAGCTATCGCTCGTCCGGTTCTCACGAGGTAGAATCCTCGCGAATTCACCCACCGGAAACAACTTCGCCACCCATAACCATAACCATCCACATTCCAACTCACTATGGATTCCATGTCCGTCGATGCTGAGTCTAACCAAATTCTCCGATGAACGACAACGACAGTAACCGCGGCCTCTCATCAGCTGCAAGGAGGAATCCGCATCAAAAACAGCACTCGACCGAAATCAATCTAGCCCTTGCGGTCGAATAAGGAGGACCAATCATCCGCCGGCAGTCTCGATTGGCCGGAATGAATACCTTTCAGGCACATGACGCATGAGAAATTTCGTCCACCAATACCCTCAAGACGTTTTCACGCATGGAACGGTGATGTCCCTGACATAACCTAGACTGAATTTTTTTCTGAACAACTAAGCCGGCTCCAGAGAGCGCACCACCGGGATTTTCCTTCGCGTGAGCCAATCGATGCCATCTTGGTAGCGGAGCTGTGCCCACGGCCGGTTTTCCCTCGCGGGGCGACGGCAACGCCGTACCTAATGCAACGAAAACGTCCGGCTGTCCAGCCAGTGAGCTCACCGGGCGCCAGGGGCAGCTTGCCGACTCGTTCGAGGGGTGAAAAAGCTCGATCGACAGTCTGACGCTGGCTGATTAAATAGCGAACTCGTTCGTGACGCGCGAATGTATCGGAGAATCTCCCGATCCCAATGTCGATTCGCCGACATTGTTGATCACACACCGACACGGTTGGATTCTATTGTGTTCGTCATTCAGGTTCGGAGCCGAGCCGGGGGGAATGCGGGTCGGAGCGGTGCGGAGTGGACAAATTGTATTTTCCAGCCGTGAAGTCACGACGTTTTTTTCCTCCATGGTTTGAGTTCTCACGAGCTCCGAGGATTTTTTGGGGGGGGGGAGGCTTATCTGAAAGCACGCATGGTTGAGGAATGTTGGACCTTCGCTCCAGCCTCGGAAGACGGGCCTTCGGTCCCGTCGATAGGAGTTGAATGACCGGGAGCTCCTTGTTGTCCTCAATGTTCCATCCGAGAACTCCGGGGCACTCGTCTTGCTCCCACGGAAACTACGCACTCGACATGCGAGTCATACTCGAGGTTCGCGAGGTCAATGCTGATATCTGGAATTTCGACTTCCACGGTCCTCGTCGGGACAAGTCCCATCGAGTTTCTTCTTTTGAGGGCTATCCCCAATGTATTCTTCGGATCTGCTCCGATCTCCATTCGCGCGGTATCCGCTGCTGACTCGAAGCATGGATTGGGAGGATCCAGTCCAGCACATGATGTCGGCGAGAATTCCGACGGCTTATTTTATTCGAGAAAGTCGAGGGCCGGAAAGAATGAGGGATGGATATGACCTTGGAAGGAACTACTTTCGAATTCCACGCCTTCAGGTTCGCGCATCACGCGGGAATCGGAATCTCGCCATTAGCATTCAGCCACGTAGTACGCATATATGAGGGCCAAACTGACCCAGAACGAGATCACCGCGTTACACAATAAAGACCAGCCACGAGCCCGACGCGACTTTTTGCTGATCTGGGGCGAGGTCAATAGGGAGCTCCTGAGGATCGAGTGCACGGACACTTCTTGCGACAGAGGAGCGTCTGACGAATCCGTCGTGGCGGTGAGCGATAGAGGAAGACCTTTAATGCGCTTCTTCCGTCTCGGTTCTTCGCTCCTCGTCAGAGTTTCCGAAGTGGTGGTTGTACTGCCGTAAGAACTTGCGCTTGGTGTCAATGAAGAATCTTGTCCTGTCGATTCCATAGTGGAGGACATTCAGCTCGAAACACTCGATAGCCCCGGAGGATCATTCGTCCCTCGAGGGATCGTGGAACTTCGTCGTCGGTAAGTCAACAGCGAACTTCATTCCCGCCACACTGAGAGCGGGGAGCCTGACCGTTCTCTCACTCAGGCGTGACTATTCGGGCGCAGCGGAATGTTCTTTCCTTACGAAGTCATCGACGGACTCTTCATCTCCGAGATCGCACGACATTGTTGTACATGATATGATACATGATTCACTCGTCGTCGCCCGTCACGGTCCGTCCAAGGAAGTTCTCTCTCTCGACGCTGGCCATGCGCTTTCTCGCAACATTCATGCGAGTTCCCTCGGTAATGACGGTCAAGGCACCTGGGTCCGGACCAGGAGCGGATCCAGCTTTTTTTCTTGGGGGGGGCCAAGTCATATTTTCAGGGGGGAAAGAGCCGAAAATGATGACGCGCCACCTCGCGGCCCATGCTTTTGTATAGGGATCGAAGATTCTTGGGGGGGGCCATGGCCCCCTGGCCCCCCCCTGGATCCGCCACTGGTCCGGACCATCCAGATGCCGAGTTCCAGCACGAATCCCTGACATGTCATCTTCCTTTGGACCGACAACGCATGCATATCGAAAATCTCAGCGATTTCTGATGTTCTGATGTTTGGCTAGACTGCAATAAGATCTCGAAGCCGCTGCTCAAGAATTGAAGAAGGCCTACCAGACCGCGATTGACCAGTTAGCTCGGTATTACCCGCTGGGAACTTTGAGAAGCATCGCTGTATATTCTTAAGGGATGGTTTGTGGTTAGCATGAGGCCTCTCAAGTACTTCTTGAGTTTGCGCGGAAGTCTTGACATTTCGGAGTGAGGAGAGTCGGTTAGACACATCGGCAATAATCCTTCGCATGCGGCATTTCGACGAAGGAGATGACGAGTGCGTTACTTGAAAAATGAAGGATGAAGGATATGATCCCAAGGATTATTCATTTGGGATTAGACCTGAATGCGAATAGTTCTCTTCTGTGCTCTTTCTCTCGCAGAGCTCAGGATGATAGCGAGTGCGCGGTGAATTCGGGTCCCCGCGCTAAATGCCAATGTTTCCCTTTTCGAGTGTGAGCCCATACTTCCTGCGTTCCCTGTGGGGAAGTCGACGCGCGCATTCCCATGGGTACCAAGAGCGGGACGCTCACCGGGTTCGACCCGAAAACTCATAAACATCATCGAGTCGAACGATTATTATGCAAACTCGTACAGGGATACATCCTGCTGAGGGTTCAGAATTGATGAAGCTCCGGCGGAGTTCGAAGATTTGAAAAATTCCCATTTCGAAACGTCGATAGGGAGGCTTCCGCCACTACGGTTCATTTATGAATCTTCCGTTACTGTTTGAACCTGACCTGACCTATAATCCCACATTCGACTCCGCAGGACCTCGTATCGCGTTTTTTTGAGAACTATGTTTCATGGGAATAGACCGAAGTCTAGAATCTCAGAGAGAGGATTCGAGGTCTCCTAGCGTCTGGTACTCTCATGGCAAAGCACCGCGATCCGAGATCATCAGAATGGGGTCACGGATCCCAGACTGCTCCTATGGCCAAAGACTGCGATCCGCGATCCTGAGACAGACAAGGATCGCGGTCTGTGGACCCTCGAAGCGTACTTCGGACTACGGAAGATTCCCCTGCTACGACTCTAATGGACTCCGGATACTTCGGTCAATTGCCGTGATTTGTAAGTCCAAACTGCGGACGACGGATGTTAGCCATAGTGCGCTTCTACGGTATACGCATAGTGAGTTCTGTGTTCTATGATGAGTTCCTCGTGTTCATCAAACACAATCAAGTTAATAATCTCCTTTGAGGATTTGAGAGATTCCGGACGGTTCTTTCCGTTGCAGTCGAAGTTGAATTATTCAGCGGTTCAGTTTCTGAAAATGTTCTTCGTCCGAGGTCATCCGATCGTGGAGCAACATGGCAGTCGATCAGCCATGAACGTGCGGTCAGATGGTCCGATCGGTTGGGTCCCTTCGATTCGCTATCGAGTGACATTTCATCGATGGTTTGGGACAATGAAATTCATCGAGGACATCGAGCGTACATATATAAATGAAGCAAACTGATCAAAATGGAATGCATGAATATTCCGTTATGAGGAAAGAGAGTAATTTTTAAAAGACGCTTTCTCCAATGAGGCTCAAGGTCCCTCCGGTTTGCCCAGGGCAGGGATGATGACCAACCACCAGCGCACGGCTTAGATGTCGCATAGTCTCACTCTGGAGAAGGGTGGCACACTGGCCTAGTAGTGGTTCGAGCTAAGACTCGCGCGGTGTGTCTCGATGCGTGCCACCGGCTCGTCTGGGACGCTCTCGAATTAAGCGAGCGTAGATTCTGTCGTGTCGCTCAGAACTGCCGAACCCGATTGGCAGCGCGGTCAGCGTCTGAATCTCCCCTGTGGGAGCGTGATTTTGCCCGACTTTCTATAGCTCCGGTTCTAAAATCGCAGGATTTCCACCGAGTGCAATGGCGTGGTCCGGGTACCGAGACGATTAGAAGCCATCTGGTCGGTTCTTGCTTGAGGATATTCCTTTGTTGAGAAGATGCAACGACCTGGAATTCAGAGGCCAGCCGCCCAGCCACCCTCGCCGCCAGGCATGGATCCGAATAATCCTTCAGCTTCGATCACGCCCATGTGTGATCTGTGCAAAGCATCGAAGCCGTCAGTGAGATGCGACCGCTGCGACAACCAGGTCTTCTGCCTCCAGTGTGACGACATCTTCCACCGGTTAGTAGCTCTAGCGATCTTGACACTTTTCGGCTGCGGTCGGGATGCCAAATTTAAACGGGGGCCGTGGGACAGCTCTTCCGAGAATTTCGCCCCGCTCTCCTCGTTCGCTTGATTGCATGATTCGGGACTGCTCGTGCCCCCCGGGGGCGTTTCCTCCGAGGAGCACTGCCGAGCTGCCTGATTGCCATCTGATCGTCACGTACAAGCTCCTTCTCCGTTGTCGTTGATTCCCCGATACAATCGCTCCGGAGTGAAACTCGCTAGCAGCTCTCCTGAAATTCTGCGAGAAGCCTTCGACGGATCCTTGTCCGAGCCACCTTCCCGAATTCCCATCATGCTCCATGCAAGCCGCGGCCACCCGGCGATAGGAGTCGGAATTGAAGGCGGATCCTGATCGGGAACTCAATTCAAGATGCCTTATTCAGGAGAATCGGACCAGCATCACAGTTTCTCGTCAACCCATGACAGGCATTGGCCTTAGGCCTACCTTCCGAAGGGGTGGGTGGGCCTACCCTTGGCTCTGGGGTGCTCCAGCTCTTCGCATTGATGCTCGGATCTCTGGGCAGCAATGAATATTCCTTCTGCCGCGGTTCGGGGTATAATTGAGGGGCGGGAGCCCTCCCCTTCCTCAATTCATTTCCGAATGGCCCTGTCACGATCATGTTCTAGCGTCCGCCCCTCCCGTCGTCGCCGTGATCGAAAATGATCGAAATTCCGCAGCCACCAAGCCGTTTGATTCCTGATACGAGACTCGCTCGTAGGTTCCTAACCCATCGAAGTCAATGACCTATACCGCAGCCTACAAGCGTGCTCAGAGAGTCTCGTCCGCTTTCCGAGTCTGAGACGAAACTTTTCCCTTGAACAGCCACCCCAAGCGGAAAGCGCACCTTCGCAAGTCCGTCGAGCACTGTGATATGGGTCGGCCCCCATCCCATCAAGGAACACTCGCTGGACACAAGGTCGTAGCTGCCAAACCCTTCTGGAAACCTCAGCCCGATGTTCCACCCCGGAAAAAAAAGCCATTTTCAATCTTCACCAATCTTATGCGGGGAAAGTCTGAAGGTGAGAAATATCCTACTTTTAATATTAAAGTTTTTTTAGGGAGCAGCAAGAGTTTTTTCTGCTCGGCGTGAATATTCTCTGTTCACAAGTTCTTCGTCCCCCTTCTGCCATCAGTTTGTATACCCGAGGAGCTAGAGAAACGAAGTACGCTGAGCTCGAAGATCGGAAGCCTCAAGCGTTTCATCCAGAACCGTCCCCTCCCACCTCTTCCTAGTGGTGAGTGCATTACTCATCCTCTGTTCCAGCGCTGTCCCCCTGCCTCCGCACGAGGGGATTTGAAAAATGATGCTTGGAGTGTCACTTATTGTTAGCTCCAGCCTACACAAAGCGTGCGATGGATTGCTCGCAAGATTCGTGGCTTTTTCGATTATTGTGCTGCCCCATTGATTTCGATGACTGGCTGAGGATGATCGAGGTAAAAATCGTTTGCTGACGTTGACTCGATGACGTGTCAAGCGTGTCTATTTCTGGGTTGTGAGAGGTCTATAGCTGTTCTACCGAGCGTGAACCTGGAACCGGTGATGTGTTCGTTCAGGCCCGGCAAACTGGGGCCCATCTCCGAAACAGGGAGACTGGGCTGCTCTCACATGTGGATGGAGCAAATTCCATTTTTCGAGAGGATTCGATCGTTTGCCCGGTCCTGTGTCTCATTAAAGTGTTAGCCACGTCGAGATCGACTCCCGTGTCTTTGTTGGAATCTTTTCTGTCGCCATCTCAAGATTCCACACAGGTTTCTGACGAAGAAAGAGGAGGGAATCGAGCCGGGGGCAAAAAAGCCTTTCTTTCTTTCGGGAGAGGATTTGACACAAATCAGATATTCCTCAAATCCCGGAAACGGAGCTTTATCGGCAACGGGAGTTTGACGAAGCTTCGAACAAGTTTCGGGGAAAAAAATCATTTCGCATCTGCTTCATCCCCGTTTTCGCGAGTAGCTCCTCGGCCTGAATATTTCCGTCGAACTCTCCGATCATCGAAGATCGAGGTATCGACGGGGCGGTTGCGTCCGAAACCCTCGGAGCGAGTCGAAGTCTAACGACCTGATGTCTTCCAGCGAACGTCGATGAACCGAAGAGGAACGCATTCGCATCTCTTCACAACAAATCGGGAAGCGCCACATCGCTTGCGAAGTCTTATCCTAGGGTAACTACCTTCTGCCATCCACTCATGCGGATTATCACTGCGGGTCAAATTGAATGAAACGCCGAATCGCTCGATTATTACACAGCCCGACAGCCAAAATCTAACAGAAAAGTGGATACTCATTTTAGGGTAAATCGGGGTCGCTGATCACGAATCCGGCGTCAGAAAATTCGAAAAGGCTCTTGTTTTCGCGAGTTACATTTTTTTTACCATTTTGGCGTAGAACTACGCCGTATGGCTCGGTTCGGAAAAAAAGCGTCACGGAGAGGAGGAAAAACTATTGTTGCGTCGAAATGCATTTCCTCTCTCGGAAAACTATCGTAATGGAGCTCACCTCACTGCAATCCCCTCTCGTAAAAATTGGGGAGCAAGAGAAACGCTTTTCCATTTGGAAACGCGTGCGATTTCTTCCTAGGCTTCGACTTCCAAAACGCGCCGAAATTCGAAAAAAAACATTAGGTCGCGAAGTTGCCGGTGGCGACAGTGGGACTGGAATCACAGCACGGGGAAAGCACATTACCGTGAATCCTCTAATGTTGACTCGGGCCTCTAGTTTTGACGTGAAAACGTTTCTAAAATGTCTCTAGTAGCCGGTCAAAGAAACTTCGTCCTCCATACAGCGAAATCTACCCCGCTTTTGCGGGGCTGAATCTCCGCTGGTAGGCATCGGATTATCACGTGGATTGGGTCGAAAGATTGCTTTACGGGACATTGTCCCGATCAATTTTCGTGGAATAGTGTGGAAACATCAAATATTCCGCCTATATTCAGGATCCGTATTTCTTCCGCTCATAAGTCTAATCATCTTCATAGTCTAAAAAACACAGAAAGTTAGATCACCTACCGCCAGCTTCAAGCAATACGCGAGAGACGTTTTCACGCGAACATACGGTAATAGCTCGCTACTACCTCCCCGTTTTTTCAAATACCTCCGGCGAGGGGCTTCTATTGGAGAGGGGCTACTATTGGAGGGGGGCTTCTAATATTCCATGAGAGATCTTGCTCCGGGGAATTTATGATGGATTTCTGGGGGAGAGCGTGTTCCCGGTCTGGGTGGAAATCCTTGGACGTCGCAGTCCAGATTCTATCACGTCAGCTTCTCCTCAGCCGACTCCGGCAGTGCGGGGTCTCCTAGTAGAGAGGGGCTCC